GGTGATGGGCTAATGGAATGGCACATAGCACGGTTACAACTAATATTTCGTATACAGAAATATATTTTGTATACTTACAACTATTTTATTATTTTATCTACAAAGGCTGCTCTTCCATATTCATGACCAAAACTTGACAAACGATTTTCCAAGCGCGTTGGAAAAAATTGCCTACGTTTTTTCGGGAGTCGAACCCGCTACGACCAACTAACTCAGCATCCAACGGCGCTGCACACACGTTGCATCAGTCGGTACACTCACAGGGGAGCTTACACCAAAACAAAATCGTTTCCTTCACACTATCTATTAGCAACTGCCTTGCTTGCCTATCAATACATAACACACAAACGTTTGCAATAGCGCTGTAGCTGCGCGCGTTGTTTACAAGTTTATTGCAGGTTCGACGACAAGCGGGTGCACAACCTTACATGGGAGAGTTGTTCGGACCAATAACAAACCGCTTTCTCTGTGTAGTGGTGAATTTTGGGGGGAAAGAGGAAAGGTGTATTATAGGTCCAACGTATGGCACTAGCTTGAATAGGACTTCCAACATCTCTCGATTCCCTCCTGAGCGTCAGCCTTCCACTGCAGTCCCTCTTCAACGCTCTTTTCTTCTTAACGCCGATTCACTTACTATTCCGGGTCTCAGCCAACAAACAAGGAAGGATTGTAAAAGTAAATCTCGCAAACTTTGACTGCATGTTTGTGCGAAAATTTGCGGAACATCTTGTGAGTCAAAAACCTATCCAACTCGAAGCAGTTTGTGAGTGGGCAATTGAACCTTCTCAATTTGTGAAGAACTTCCAACACTCAAATTTTTCTTTTACCAATGCGTCACCTCTGCTTCGCAGAGGCTCGCTCTGATTCTATTGTCTCTATGCCTTGCTCATTTTCGCATAATGGTGGCATTGAAACTCACCGCGCAATGCTGACTATCACGGTTGTAAACAGTTGCTCATTTCAAAAGCTTTTCCATGCAAGATCTTGGACGAAACTTTTTGCAGAAGAACAAATGTAAATTTTGCATCATTTTGAGCTTTTTATGACTTGATAGTTGCCATAAGGACAATAATCATTGAGAGCTACATCTTTGTGCAAGAATCTTCTCAGATGCTCAAATAAAATTGTTAGGTTGACCATTTAAGCAAGCATTTCTTCTTGGCAACCGTTTTCGTAATTGGAGTTTTGATTAATTTTTGGGTTAAAGTCTATGGCTTGCACATTAGCTTGTCAAACGTATCCATGACTTTGCGAAAAGTGCCACTGCGGACCTAATTTTGCTGGCGAGAAGCCTTGTGGGTCCGCTTGACGCTCAGTTTTAGGGGGGTCCACTGAACGGTTCCGCTCGTGCTTTTGCGCGGTGGACTCTCACGCAGGTAGCATGCGCTATGCAAAACTTTGCTCAAGACTTTCGCTGGTACACGCTCTATGAAATTCGTAACGGACGGACAGTCGCACATACATACGCACATAAAAAGGCGTAAGCACCCCAGTGGCGGTACCAGGATTTCGGACGGGGGGGGGGGGGAGGACAAAAAAATTTTCTGAGTGAGGGTGCGCGGCGTTAAGGGGTATTCGTCGACGACTGCCCTGACTCGTGCAATTACACCACCTTGGGCGTGCCTTATTGAGGCCTTTCCAGCTTGACAGTACAATGCAGCGAGGGACTTGGTAGCTCGCAGCATCCCTGTCCTTACCCTGTCATGTCCTGTCCTGCTGTCAAGCTGGAAAGGCTTCAAAAAAGCACGCTCACGGTTGTGTAATTGCACTAGTTGGGGCATTCATCGACGAATATCCTTTAGCCATGCACTCTGAAAAATTTTTTGGGATGCTTCCCAGAATTTTTGTGGGCCCATGCCCCGAAAAAAAATTCTTACAAGGTTAATTTGAAATTTTAAAAATTTTAAGAACTATTTTAACTATTTAAAAGTATAAACAGGTCACTTGCACATTTTATAACCCATATAAGTAACTTTTAAAAATTTCGCGACTCATTCTGGGGGGGGGGAATCCCCCCCCCCCCTCGGACCGCCGCTGAAACACCATTAGCCCGGTATTATATGTGATAATATTACTCCAATTGTTCCCATCTTGCACGCGCATGTATAACAAGTCTGATGTTATAACATTGTCTTTGCGCTGTTTAAAGAACAGTTTAGTACAAGAAACTTAATGTTAAGTTTTTTAAAATACTTTAAACTTCTCTGGCCGGCAAGAGGTTTGGCCGCGTTAGTCACGCAACACTGTTCACCATGTTGGGATGTTTCAAAGGCATGTTCGGGTACGCCAAAGGGAATTCACTTCATCCATTTGTTTATATTTGAAACGATTTGACTTAGGGTCGCATGCATTAACATCCCCGCTGGGGAGGAAATCGCAGCCTTAAAATGCTTCAAATTCTGTTGCTCCAGATATCTAGATTTCACGCCGTTTATCCATCCATAAGTATTCCTATTATCCTTAACTAATAGCATATTGAACAGGAGCGAGAAGCTGCACGAACCGCGTTTTCCAGCTTTTTGTATGACTCACTGATGATTTCCAGCGTCCGACCGTCTTTTCTTCAATGTTATTTTTCTTTTTCCGGAGTTAATCATCCCTAAGTTGTACTGAATATCTAACTCAACAGTGCTAATCCTGCTGCTAATAGAAACAATTGAGTTACAGAAATATCGAAATTTATAACAAACCCCAACTTTCGACTTGTGGTTTATCGCAATTTTCATGACTTCGATATATCTTTTGCGCTCATTAGAAACATGCTTGGCATTGTTTGTTAGATAATCAGTGAGACTTTGCATGTTTTCATCAACTATGAGAAAAGAAAAATGATTAGAAAAAGAGCCGGTCGACTGCAGGAGATCATCAGGGGGGAATCGTATAAAAGCTGGAAAATGCGACTTGTACAGTCTTTGCAATATTTACGGATAGGCAGACAAAGTGAAATCCGGATATCTGGAGCTTCAATACGAAGCTTTTGAGCTGAGGATCTCCTTCCCGGCGAGAATGTTAATGCATGCGACCCTTGATATTTAACCGTGCAAGTTCCTACTGATTCCGAAGCGTTGACTGAACACGAAGTTCATATCAAGTGTGCTATATCAGATCTCTATCTCTGAACAAAGCATGTTTATAACAAGATTCTATCAACCCGAGTAACGCTTCATGGTCTACGTACTCGAAAGTGCTATCTTCTACCAATTGACAGGGCTCGGCACGAGGTGGCTTACAAGCAAGCTGGGTATCGTTTTTGGGACGAAAAGCAAAGAGTTTTTGAAGAGACACAGGAAATTGGCGACGGCGACCTTTTTTTTTTAGTCGACGTTTCGTTTTTTGGGGGATTTTGGGAAATTTTTCAGGTTTTTAGAGGAAATTTGGTTGAGGGTCAAAGGGGACTTCGTAAAAATTCCCAAAAGTCAAGGGTGACTTCGTTTTTTCCATTTTCATCTAGCCACCTCGTGCCGAGCCCTGCCAATTGATATCTTCTGAGTAAAACGTAGATCAGTAATTCATTCATGTGTTAAGCCATGTGCAAGTAAAAACAATGTGAATAAGGCCAAGAAGTATTTATACCAACGATACACTTAAGTGGCCATAACGCCTCACGTCTAATGATCTAGAAGTGATGCAGTAAACCTGAACATTGATTTTCTTCTCTAACTAAACTAGCTGCCTATATCTTTTCGGTAAAGAGCAGCTTTATCATGAGCTGAATATGGATGTCAAGAACCTGTGAATTTTGCTTACCTTCAAAATGCATCTATTCATAGTAAAAAAAACTTTTGAATTAAAAGAAGTAGGCGAAAGCGCCCGATTAAATACTGTATTTAGCAGAAAGTAATTGATACAGCCGCATGGTTATATCCTGAAAGCTATTGTTGAGAATTTGCTCAGTCCGCTGACATGGTCTAGCGCTCTACTTACATAATCTCTAATCTTTACAGAATTGGCTTTCTATGCTAGACACCTCATATAAAACACCCAAAGAGATTCAACACCATGCTAAGGTTGCTCTTATTCTTTTACTTTTAAAGCGTATAAAGCTTGATACTTGTCAAGATATGCTTTATGTAAACTTGAGGTAATACATCAAATCAACTGGAGTTGAATTACGTGTTTCAAAGCGGACAAATTGAATGTTTGAAGCACATGCCCTTTCCCCCCCCCCCCCCCCCCCCCCAGAGGTTCAGCGCTGACAAGGGAATGGTCAGAAGTCGAAGTGACCAATTCAAACAAGCTGCATACCATTAGTTGTAGCATAAATCGCTGACTCTAAATCTGTCTTCCTTACCTGCAGACCACTTTTGCGAATGGAATTATAAGCCGTTAAAGACCATTATTTTGCTAAGAAATTGTGCATATAAAGGGCAAATTTGGCCGTACAGAGCCACTCTCTGCTCAGCGTTGGACCAAAACATGCAACTAAGTCTCTTCATATGGACCGTACCAGAAGGTGAGCTAAAAGGGCAATAGTGTGCCCAATTAATTTTTGTATAGGATTTTTTCGCAGTAAAGCTGCTCACAACTTCGCCAGCAAGGGGTTCTGCGGATAAGATCTGGAAGACAGATTTAAAACCAGCGCTCGTTCTATTCTGCATCAAATGATGTGCAGCTTGTTTGGATGGGCCACTTCGACTTCTAACCATTCCCTTGTGAAATTTGGAGTCAATGTTGCCGCTGCTGTGAAACCTCTGCACATTAAGCTATCCATCTAAAGCGATCAAAATAGCTGCACTTCAGTTTACAGTTTTGAATCGATAGTGTTGATGTCAAAATCCGACAAAAGTAGTGCAAGTACATTACGTGTCAAATGTCAAAGTAAAATCTTTGAGGGTTATTGCATTTAAAATTGAATTGGCCAATCAACTCCTGTCTGCAAAAGTGTTAAATGTACTACTTTGAAAACTTTGCAGCATTTGTAACTTCATGATTATGAGTGGAACAACCCTGCAACTTGTCGGTGATTATGAGCTCAAATAGCTCGCGACAGTGCCTGGACAATGCTGCTCTTGATCATTACTGTGAGTTTTCTACTGGATTCTTTTACAGCTCAAGCTATGCCTCCAGATAGTACTATTTGGTTCCTCCACATCTAGAGTCAGGAATTCATGTAAAGAGCATGGACTTGAAAAAAGGGAAATTAAAAAGTCCTTGCAGCAGTATACAAATAAAACGCTGGTTTGTTTATTACACTACTTTTGTATAGAATATCGACGGCCATATCATCAAACTTTTAGACTTACGACCGCAAACTTCGACAAATTGCTGAATTTGGAGGAGCTGTAGGTCTAGAAGTCAAATCTGTCAGGGAAGGAAAAGCCGTTTTGTCTAGCTTTTATGGGTACATTACAGTTTCACAAATGTACCTCAACGTTTCTGTTTCTTTGCAGAGATAACAATCAGCTCGTAAAAAAATTGGGCTGGGATTGGAAAAAATATCTAGCAAAGGTAAGAAAAGATCAGAGTTCTGTCTTTTTCTGAAAGAGAAATGACGTATCTGAGTTACAAAGACTGTGCAAGTATAAGTACGTCATAGACCATAAGCATAGCCTCCGCTATTGCATTTTTATTCCTTCACTAAATTCACATTAGAGGTGATGCTGCGGCTGCATACAGCTCGCTCCATCCTGCTCACTCTCACATAATACAACCTGAGCTGTTGAAAGACAAAACTTATGTCTATTATTGGTCTAACGGTCGAAAACGAATCCCGCCCGTGCGAGACCAGTAAAAATTTTGTCCTCAATATTTTCTTACATACTGTGACGTCCCTAATCCCTCCCAGAAGCTAGTACATCGCATTGCAGAACATGCGATAAACTAGCTTCTAACATCACAGTAGTTTGCTTTTAGACAACCACTATGTTGTTCCGAAAGTTCTGTCCGATTTAGAACTTTTTGATACAAATTGTTATAACTTTCTCCGAATTCATTATTTTCGGACGATCTTAAATTCCTTAGACTGAGCAAGTTTCTGGCTGCCAAAAATGCTGAACAATAAGAACTTTGACCAAAATTAGTAAGCATCGGAAAGAGCAAGAAGAGAGCTTTCTAGTGGAGTAAATGTCACCATTTTATATGCAAGAAGACAAGAGAACTGCTGCATCAAACATTAGGCAACAAAAGCAGAACTCTTGAAACAACCTAGTAACTGGTACTCCATATCTAGCGATTCTTTTGATGGAGCATACGCTAGATCTCGGTAAGCACTTTCCAAAAAGAAACGATACGCAACAATCAGGAACAGATTATTCAAGATCACTCTTACATATTTCGAATAGTTTAGACGCAGTTTTACACTTTTGCCTTGTATCCATGAGCGTTGACAAAACGATTGAAGACTCTAAAATTCTTTAGTAACAGCAGGGACGACAGTGTTGGTCATTGAAACTTTCTCTTCTTTGCTTTGGAAAGTCTATACTCTAACTGGGTTACATGTAGTGAAGTACTCGATGAAGGAGAGACATTTTAGAGGTTTGCAAATTCCCGGAATAAAAACCTTGTAATTCCTTTAGGTAGCAGCTAGAACTTGGTGTAGTGTTCATTCCAGAAAATATAGAAAATTCCGAGAGAAACTGTTTGTGACCATATGAGGTGCACCGATTTGTTTCTTTTCGCCAAAGTCGAAGAGATCCAGGTGCTTTATCAATTTGAATAGAACATTGTTTCAGCTGAAAAGTCCACGTATCTACTTTGGATGCTCTTGTGGAAAGACTCGTCACAATAGAACAAAAATTTTCTGCATTTTCTCTGAATCCCGTGTTGCAAGACAGGTAGTTAAACCAAAACCATTGCGGTAAACGAGCTTCCTCTAAATTTTTTTGTATTTCACTGCAGTGAACTAATACTTGTGCGCCACCAACTTCTCCTGAAAAGCCGAAGTCATCAAACTCAATGCACTATGTGATTGAGCGCTCCTAGAGTAATTCTTTTATACAATCTTTCATTACTCTCGTATCTTATCTTTCATTTACTTGGGCAAATTAGTTTTTCAAAGGCAGGCATGCAGCAGCCTATAGGTTGAATTCATCATGGTTTCATAATCGTTATGTGTTTTCTTGTCAGAAAGTGGTGGGGCACTTTGTGTTTCGCTGTCTGTAGAAAAACTTGGATGCTCGAGCCAACGCCTTCTGCTGAGAATAGGCACTAAGCGCAGAGATAAAAGTGGAGCAAAAGAGCACTGGTCTAGTGAATTCTTAGCAAGCTTACCAAAATTTTGAAACGGAAATTAATACAAAACCCTTAGTCGTGTAACTTCTGTAACCTATCCTCACTAGCGGAGCAAAGGAAAGATTTGGTCTTTGTGAAAATACCAGTTTTTTCACTATTTTTTACACTGTTTCTTCTGAAATTTCTTTCACAGAGATACTCACAAACACACTTTCCGCGGTTAAAAGAGGATAGTTCAAAAAATTTTACTACTGATTATTCGAAATTTAGTTCTCGTGTTTTGGCAAGCTTGGTGTAGTTAACACGAGAAGAACCGTCTGTAGCTCTAGATTCCGTGCTAGCCTCAAGTATTTTTGAGCCACTGGTTGCCCTGCAAACCTTTATTGGAAGGAGAAAGCAAGTTTAAAAGCCAGTAATCATGATAAGATGTTTGCGCCTTATGTATCTGTTTAAAGATTGCTCCGCTCACAGGAACTGTACAAAGTTTTCTGATCAGCACATGATTTCCAATAGTCTATTACAAACTGCAATTACTATTTTTTGGGTTGTCGGCAAGTACGAAAGTCCAGTGCTAAGCAACTGCTGAAAAAGCTGATAACTATAGCGTAACACTTGAAAGAAACGTCAGGGTCGGTAAACCTAAACTTGCAGTCGAAATACAGAGTTGATCAGAGTCGACTTCGATTTAATCAACACCTCCAAGGGATCAATGACAGGTGCTCACTTGGATGTTCTAAGAAACACGGTATGCCAGGGTACTTTATAAACGGTAGTTTATACTAGCAAAAACATAGCATGCCTTCACACAGAGAAAATGGTCTACAACGAACTAAGCTCTGCCAAAACATGTCCCATCAAAGCTCCGTGGCTTACCATGCATGATGTTAATGAAGCGAATATACCCTAAAATCCGTACAATAAGTCCGCCTATCAGATAAGTCCGCAAAGGAACTAACAGTTAAGTCCGCTTTCTTGACCACGAAAGTCGCCCTCGCGCCGCCAAGGGTCCTGCAGATAAGTCCGCTTTCTCATGCTCAGGATAGGCGAACTTATCTGCTGCGGACTTATCTGATAGTGGATATAGGAGGACTTATCTGGTAGACTTTTGGCGGCGCAGAGGGCGCTTTTTCATCGATTTTTCGCGTCGAAACTGCAGACAAGTCCGGACTTATTGTACGAATTTTAGGGTAGTAAGTTCAACTCAGTTTAGGTGGAAATGAAACTGGCGGGAGTCCGCTTCGCAACGATTCGTGCCGCCTTGCAGTCTGCGTCCTTTTATTCTAATCTATCTCGCTGAGCCAGTGGCGATGCGGACGCGCTGCTCCACTTGGAATGTTTCGCCTACTCCGGGCTAAAAAAGACTGTACATCAAAGTAAAGCAACGTACAAGCTTTATAGGTGGACTACTGGTTACTGGCAAAAATATGCTTGTAGCTTCTTGAACATCAAGTAGAGACTCCGAGTATGAGAATTGAAAAACGGAGTTTGGAAGGCGAAACTTGAAGTTTTAAGAAAAAAGTCAAAATCAGAGTACTTTAGTGCGTAGCTTTATACTCGGAATTTCGACCATATCACTACCGAGCCCAAGTGCCTCATCATTTTCCGAACATCTTGATTTGACTAGATCGACAATGAAAACCTAATATTTAGTTGTTAAAAGATTTCAATAAATATTGTTCAATTTGAAGTGCAATACTTTGATTACAAACTTGGTTAGGGCTGTCTCCCCTTCAGTATAAACACCTACGAGTTTCGCTGCTGGGCAGCGACTCCTTTCTGTACAAAGACAAATCAGCTCTTCTACACTCTTTCACGTTTAAATCTCGAAATCAGGTAAGGCCCCCTCCTCCTGGATGAAAGAAAATACAAGCTGCCCACTGAAACTGCTGGGTGTAAACTGCAAGGCAGATCTACTTGTCAAGCAAATCATGACTTTGCAAAAAGTCGAATTAGCGACCTCGTTCTGGTGGAAGCCCCGTTTGACGCGCAAGTTCTGAAGGCTCCCTTATCGAACCTGCTCGCCCTCGTGCATGGTGGACCTACATGCTGGTCCGATATGTTATGCAAAATTGTAGCTCGATAGCCCGGCTGCAGCTCCCTCTATTTCGTGACAGTCATGGACACACACACCAAAAAGACACGCTTAGAGCTTTATTATAAGTCATGATAGAAATGAAATGCTCAAGCGCAAAAGGCCATCAATCTCTTGTAATTCTGACCTCGTCCCGGAAGTGCAAAAATAATTTTTTCAAAGTTATATCTATGACGTAGCTCTGAAATATGATAGAGGAGGTTCCTTCGGTTCACGATCCACTGAGGAAATCCATAATTAAAACAGATCTAACGTTAGAAATGTGTAAGGTCATGATGCCATTACCTCGAACTTCGAGAGAAGCTGCTATCTATTCCCAATCAAATTTCGAGTTCTCTCGTAACACACTCAGCAAACACACAGAGCTCAACAAACAATATGTAAGAATAAGTGGTGGCTGCCTTACTCCATTAAACTTTTTTTCAATGCTAAGCGCTTTTTTACAACCTCGCAAAGTAATCTTTTTTGCAGAAAAAGTCGCTGAAATGAATAAAAACTGAATCACATAAAGAAAAACAACTCAACAGAAATATGAAAAAGTAATTACGAGTTGGGAACTACCAGGTTAATCGGAATATTACTATGGAATTCTGTTGTCGGATTCCCTTACGCAAACCTTGCTTTATTCACTCCAAAGTACACTTATAGGGCTTATCAAATTTAGTGTCGTCTGCACTAGCGTCTCCATCTTCGCGCTGGACTCTGCGTCTCTTCCGCGAGGCTGCTCTTTAAGCACTTTCCCAGGGCGAACGTGGGAAAGGTGGAGCCTCAATCGATTGGAAGTGATTAGGGAACAGGTGCCGCAGAAGAGACGCAGAGTCCAGTGCGAAGATGGAGATGCTGGTGCAAACGACACTCAATTTGATAAGCCCTATATATCTTTCTGAATTCTAATTTGCTTGTTGTTCTAAACTCTGAGATCAAATTGTGATATGTGGCTGATGTCAATGTTCAAAATCGGTCCACAACTTTCTTCACAGTTCTGCGCCAACTCAAGAACTCATAGTAGCATTGCCTCCCTATAAAATCCTAGGTGGAGAAAGTCTGTGTTAGAATTGGTCATCCTTTAGCTTGCTGAGGCAGCAAACTGATATGTGCACTATGTGCAATCTATTTCCATTTTCCTGCAATTTCATGCAATCAGGTAGACAATCGAAAAAAAAACAAAAAAAAAACCCATATGCCGCCTTGTGACGCTCCCTGGTTACTATAATATTTCCATTTGGTAACACCTATTAAAGTTTTTCTAAGGCTATTTCAATCTAGAAGAATGACTGCAGCGAATAAATTGTGGATTCAATAAGTAGTGACTTCAGCATGAGTTTTCCTCTGCATGGTACCAAGCTTCGTCTATTTACATCATTCTCGTTTTCCCATGAAAATTGGCTCCGCAGAATTTAAATACTTTCAACATACCAACACGCTCGAGTGTAGTAGAAGCATTGGTTTGTCCAAAGCGCTACGACACTGTGGCAGGCGACAGTAAGGATGCACCTTCCTTTAGATCTGTTCTTATCAACTATTAGAATCACTATTACCCAAATTAACTTTGCATTGATAACAATGCAAACTGACAGAAAAACTTTTGACAGAGATAACCGCCTATAACTTTTCACCACAGCCGCTCACTCATGTTGGTGTTCAAGGCACTGGGCGAACAATTGGAGTTTACACACATGTAACCCTTTCTTTGTTGTTAATGATCCAAAAATGAGTACGTAATTAAAAACCTAATGACATTCAAAATTAGTGCACAAAAATAGTTTTATTATGCTTTGAAATACTTGTTGATGTTGTTACCTAAAACAGGACGAAGTCCATCGCCTTAAAACGACTTACAGGCTCATCACATTCAATGAAAAAATTTGTGAGCTGTCAACTACTGGACGAAATAAAAAGATGATTATACGAGTTTTGTTGGAGTGATAGACTATTTGCGAGCTTCAAAAGCAAGCAATTCACTTTCAAAATATACAACTAGAGTCCCTTCGATATGAACTGCATCAGAGACGTTGCTTGAAAATTTAAAGCTTGAGCTCATGTTTTTGTAAGGTATGTATAAGCTAAATTCTTCTCCGTCGTATGCAGCAAACATCTCGTTTCTAAGAAATTGTTTTAAAAGAAGTATCGTGTTCCACGATGACAAAGAGTTAAGGGGTTAGTCAGTGCAATAAATTCACATGTACTTTGTACCTGAGCCGAAACACGGTCGTCTTATTTATTAATAGAGCACAAATGAGATATCTGGATTTTACTGCAATACTAAATGGTCCCTTCATCAAGCTCTCAACAAATATCGTTCGCTATCGTGATCTTTGAAAAGCGAAAGCTACTCTTATAAACACCGTGCTCGGCAGCGCTTGATTTTGTCCGAGTAGTATCCCAACTATGTTCTCAGATGAACACTGAACTTCCATTTTTCGTGTGAGATTAGCTTTTTAGAACTATTTATTTAGAAGTGGAGCAATCCCTAGTCGAGAGAGCACTTGAGCCGTTTAACGGATATTTCTCTGCAAAATTGGCACTGCTTGGCCAAACAGCGATGACATTTAAGCTAGAGAATCCCCTACCGTATCATGAAAAATTCCATCAGTGTCTTTTTAAAAAAACTGCTCATAGAGGGTGGGAGGGAGGTCCTCTATCAAAAACAGTATTCATTGTATTTCAATCATTGTGATTGCATTGCAGCGTTTATATGTAAGTATATTCTCTTATTTGCAAATCTAAATGCTTTACCAAGCAATACTGTGGCAAAAACCTGGCGCAGATGTTATGATGATTAACCTACAGTTATAGCTTTGCATATTAGGACTTCAAAAAACAGATTTACAGCCACAGAGAAAGCGTCGTCGAAGGACAAATTGTAATATGTTCTTGTATTTTTTGAATCTGGCCTTTAATGACGGAAATTGGAGCAAGTACCTTAGTCGATAAACTTTTGAAACGCACCAATTTGTGCACGGCCTCAGGCACTGACAGATATTATGGACACGACTAACAAGGGAAGTATACTTGGTTAAAGTGGCATTTCCATACGAAGTCATATCATTTTATTGAGCATGGAACGCTGATTCCAAATCTACTTCCGATATCCGCGAAGCTCTTTAGCGGGAGAGGAGTTTTACAAAAAAAATGCGCGGCTGCAGTAAAATTTGTCTGAACTGTGGCCTGTGATGGTCTTTGAATGGGGCGGTGATCCTACCAGGCGTTTTATGTATAATACCTTCAGCCTAAGAAATCCATAATATTCATTACTACTACTAAGCAACGGAAAGAACTCAATACATGTTTTCATCCTAGCCAAACCCTCAAATGTTTATCTCAAAACTTCCCATAATTCCCCTCACAGAAGCGCTTCACACTAACGAAGGTAGATTGGGAGTCAGCGTTCCATGCTTTATAAGACAGTACACACTTCATACGAACGCCACTTCAACCGAGTATCCTTCCCTTGTAAGAAAATATATGAATGGGTAATATCTCCACCTCTCACTTCAATACCAACTCGGAAAGCTTCAGTTCTTTTTCGAACTTAATAAAGGTTTTATCAACCAGAAATTTTTTACTGGCTTTTTATGAGGCTACATGGTTCAGTAATACTCGGAGTTGTTTTTGTTGTAATCCAATCAAGGAGGCAGTCGCATGGCTGACGAGCTGTCATTAATAGACTTGGTTTGAGTGCAAGAAGCTTAGCAATATTGTATTTGATAACCTAATTTGTATCCATAATAACGAACATCTCTGCTAAAATAGACAGTTTGTTGAAGCTCTCGAGTGTTGCTCATTATACTTTAAATGTGTAGCCGCCATTTGAATTGCAAACGTGTAGGAAATCAAGGTATAAATAGTTTTTTTTACTTTTCAAGATCTCCCTTTGTTAATTACAGTGGATCAACGAAAATAAAGCGGAGAACTACAAAACTTATCGCTTCTGCTAAAAGCTGCTGTCTGATGTCAAAACAAGCAAATTTCCTAATCAAAAATATTATCGAACTCATTCGTCCTTTCGGTGGTATTTTGCATCGTGCGCAGGCACAATTTCCAAAGTCCTGTTTGAACTGAGCAACCGCGAAGAATATTATAATGTGAGACGTTGAACAAAGAGCCTTTTCCAATGACGATTTTTAGTAGAATTTCCTGTTAACTCCTTTACATTGTCCAGATTTCAAATTACGAGTGCTTTCCAATCTCATCCAAAGCACTTCTTGTGAACCATTTTAGTTACTATAGAACAAGACTTCCTCACAAGCATGATTTCTTTCTAGTACATATTACGCTACCAATATTGAACATATTCAGAAGAAATTGCTGTACTCTATCTTATGCAAAGCTAGAACATTTTATGCAAAGTTGAGGAATGAGCGGAATGATTCAGTTCGAGCGGGACCATTCAGCTCTTAAGATGACTTTGTTAGAAGAACCATTCTTTTATCCAGTGCTCTAGAAATGGCTAAGGCTCTCCGTAGATCACACGCTTCGGAGTTTCTTGATGAAGTTGATTTTCCCACGATCTGCGTTCCACAGATTCCGCTTACACGCCATAAATTCTTTTCAGTGTTTGGTCCAAACGAACTTCATTTACATCTGCTGCTATTTTCTTCAACGACGAGTATGGCGAACCAAACAACCGATTTTGATAATGTTACAGGTATGATGAGCCTCAAAATACTCAGAACTTCACCTTTGCAATTCTGAGTGGTACAATTATTAGGTTTATCCACATGTCTTGCATTAAATACGAAAATTTGCTTCAAATGCCCAAAGGAGTTTCAATTATGTCACATACTTTTCGTAACCTATAGAAAATGTTCTATCTTACTATGATTATTAGTGGTTTTATAGGTAAGACAATCAAAATGTCGATTGTACACTCGAAAATCATTAATCGTGGAAACATCAAGAACAAATTAATCTCGGAAAATATAAATTTTGTTGGACTCAGCATTTTTAGCGACCAAATTTCGAAAAAATAAAGTTTGACTTTTTCTGTGCATCACCTTGTACCCCCGTGATATGCCGATTTGGATTTTTGATTGAAATACTTTCAAAACGTAGTACCTACTCTTTTCCAGCTATGTTGAATCAAGCTGTGATGTAGAAAGTAAAAAAAACTTTGAATTTTTCAAAAAATTTTGGTGCAAGACTTGTGGCCCTAGTACGTAAAACTTCAATCGTTATGAATGCATCACAACCATACTGAAGAAATACTCAATATTGCTTTTCCCTGCAGCAGTTATTCGAGCTGCTGATTTGCATTGCAAAGCTAAGGGTAAAGCTTTCTTTGAAATCAAAGCAAGCGTACCTACACTTTTTGGAGCTATTACGTGAAACCTCCCAGATTGCAGAATTTTAAAGGAGTACAGGTGCAAATGCTTATTTAGTGCACTGATACGTAAACAAGTCATAAGTGCGAAACTTTGCAAATCCAACAAAGAAACTTCTTCTGCAAAGATTTGCTTGGGCTTTTTTTTCAAACACCTGACAGAACATTTTGTCGTAATTTGTTCTCAGTTAGTCTACTAACAAATTCATTTATACTCACTTACAGTCGGTAGAACAGTATAGATTACATACCCATATATTTTCAGAATCAATGGATGGTTATGATCCAGTGCTTTTTCCAACACCCATTATCTTCGGTACTCTATCTACCATTGGTATCACCGGCAACATCATTATGGTCATAGCAACATATAAAGCCAAGTGTGTTGTTTTGAATATTTCACGGCTAATAATCATCATTCACTCAAAAAATTTTATGAGGAGATTGCATTGTTAGCTTGTTCAGCGTATAACCTTGGTAGTCACCCCATCCATGTAGCACTCTGCTAGAAGGTTGTGAGCTAACTGTCAAAAATAGCCCAATAAATATCTAGCTCAGGTCTTAAAGCTGTGGATACTGATGCAGATCATATCACATCCTTTCCCGCTATTACTCAAGCTAATACTTGAATTTGGCTCATCTTCAAACAATCTTCTTCGTTCTATCAAACATTCATGCAATGCACATTTTTTGAAACTTGAAACATGCCGCAAGAATTACAATTAGTTTAAGGGTCATAGAGTTTTGCTACTAGATAAAAAATTAAGCAAGTTTTCCGCCGCTCTATTGAAGACATCATTCAGTATGTTGCGTAAGGACAAAAAACTTGCTTAACTAGGTAACTGCACCTTTTTTTTGATTGACTGCAAAACGCAATTGATACTTTCCCTTTTATAGCATCTTTTCAAGTACCACATTTTCTTTTTCATCAGTCAAGTTCTTCAAATAAAAACCTTTTAAGGCACACTCCTCTGGTCTGCAGAAAGTTGCAAGCACATAAAGTCTTATAGCTTCAGATTACTTTCTTTCATTCATTACTTTTCTTGCCATACATTACGCAATGTTGCCTTGCTTGAACCACCTGTTCTATTGAATGGAAAAAGAATATCGTAAAATGTTTGCGTACTGTACTTGTTGTTCGCTTCAATCCAAGACCAAGGTCTCAAGAACGATTTATTCGCTTATAAGACGGCATAAGTACAATCGTTTCGTAGTGATAGAATAGTAGATATAATATATAAGGAGAGGATCACAATTGGTGCATTTTCACCGGTTGAAGAATAAATTCTTATGGACGCTAGAATTGAATCTCTCCAGTGTTTGAAAAGGAAAATACGAAAGCCATTGCAATTGATTATCTTCGTTTATACCATACATCTTATCTTTATTGTCATAAGGAACTTTCCTTCCTGTCATAAAGCTCTTACAACTAAGAAATCGCTCAATCCGATGTTATTCAGGAGAATGAAGTCGCCCTGTCACATCCTCATCGCATCCAATTGTCTAGCTGATGCGATTCACGAAACTGGCCAGTATGCATTCGTTTACCATTTTTTCAACAAATGTAAGCACCTAATGTGAAGCGGTAGTGTGTATTCAAAATTATTTTAAACACATATTCAGCGTTTATGACACAATCTGATTGTTTCTACTTGTTATCAGTTCCGATACTTGGTGCAAGCTTTGGAAGTCCTCTGATATTATGTCTTGGCATAGATCGACTTATAGCGATCAAATTTCCGTCAAGGTGGGCCAAAAGGAGTCGAGCGGTGATAAATTTGTGAAAAAAAGTAAAGGAAAAGAGTAGAGAAAATTTTTTTCAATAGCACACGCTGCCGTACACGATACAGGGTGGACCTGTGCCTACTGTTTGATGTTAGGCACCATTTTGTAGAGTTGGCTTCAATTTAGATTTTCAGTATGAACAATTACCGATCCCTCTTCAGTACTGTAAGATTACGGTAGGAACTTGCAGCATATGGCGCTACTGTGAAAAAGGCCTTCCAATTATTTTTTCAACAAATTCTGAAAATTTGTGTAACAAGGTTTTCATGCGTGCTAACTTTACTAAATGACTTTTTGCGCGTTTGCAGAGCTTTTCAAATGGCATCAAGTTTTTAACAAATATCAGAACTCGGCTGTTACGGAATTTCTGGCATAACCTATGGGAAAAGCGTTACGGTAAAATGCTAGTTCATAAAGTCAGTGACTTTGATTAGCATACTGTAGGAGTTTTCAGCTTCTTTAGTACCAGTGCTTCACCTCTGCTTCGCAGAGATTCGCATTGGCATCGTGAACCGTGCTAAACTCACTTTTTGAGAGCTTCTCTCTCAAATCATTGTTCGGTTTATTGCAAAGTGAGCCGTAGTTAAAAATGAACCATACTCGCTATCTTAACCTCACATGATGTTTAGTATCGTAAATCATTCCTCACTGTAATTTCGTAACGGACAAACTCCACACAACTTCAGATTAAGCCGCTTATTATAAGTCATGATTTTTTAGGGGTAGAATTTGACCCTCAATGACGCAAAACCCTTCTCAAAGTTCCTACCGTAATCCTACCTAACGAAGAGAGTTTGGTAGAACACCCTATGCTGTAATCTAAGTAATCTAACAAGGGAAGAATACTTAATCGCACTGACGAGTGGGTAAGCGGTGTATACCGCGTATACCGTCCTCAGACGATGACCTCTAAACCGCATTCCATATCTGCTATGACGTCATTCTGGAGGAGTTATAAAGAATTTTTGTTGCAGTGGATAGTGACTTGGACTGCGGAGCTGGACGCCGTGGGTTCGATTCCTCTGGATGCCACCCGTTTTGCACTTTTATAAATTTTAGCAGGCAAGTTGCAAAGCCTGTCGACATTAAAAAAAGTTGATTTTCACAACATGAAGCAATATATTTACATTTATTGGCACTGGACGACCGTCTAACCTTCGAGTAAGTAAGAAATGACCAGTTGTGGACAGAACATTGCAATTGATTAACATATTGTGCATAAAAAATCGATCAGGACTCTATTTTTTACAGGTTAGCTGTTCCCTCTATGTTAAGCACGAATTCGGAATTTTTCAATGTAAAATTGAGTAAAGTATCTGGTGAAAAAGGATAAAAACGGGTGTTTTACGTTAGACGGTGGTTCAGTGCCAATAAATGCAAATATATTGCTTCAAATTGTAAAAATCACCTTTTTTTAATGTAGACAGGTTTTGCAATTTGCCTGCTAAGATTTACAAAAATGCAAAACGAGTGGCCTCCCAGAGGAATCGAACCCACGACGCCCAGCTCTGCAGTCCAAGCCACTATCCACTGTACCAAAAATCCTTTATAACTCCTCCAGAATGACGTCATAGCAGATATGGATTGCGGTTTAGAGATCAACTTCTGGGGACGGTACACGCGGTATACACCGCTTACCCAATCGTCAGTGCGATTGAGAATCCTTCCCTTGTAAGTTGAAGCCGGCTCTACAAAATGGTATCTGACGTTTCTCAAAAGACTTCATAAGAATATACTAGGATGTCTATTGAGATCCGTATATTATAATACGATGAGTCCTACATAAGTGATTTGTTCATAAATAAGTGACAGAAAAGTGAGAAAAAGATTTGAAATAACTGAAATCTAAGATTGATTACAGATATCGTTTCTTCCAAACTATGCCATACACTTATATTGCTGCGCATATGGTTTTCCCCACTTTATATGCTCTATATATTGTTGCATGGAGCTTCGTTACCAGAAATGAGGCGTAAGTCAATGACTTTTCTTTCATCAATCCGAAGAAGGAAAAATTTTCACAGGAAAACTAAGACAGCAAAAAATGGGGGCTCAAAAAGTTAATTTGATAATAGCAATAAATCATGAAAAGACACGTAATATTCCAAAGTTTACTGACTTCTCATAAGCAGTTTATGTGGAAGTTGTATTTGATATGAAAATCGCACATATGATGCGTCATTTATGTCGAAGTCCTGAAAGTTTCCAATCCCTTTCTTGACTAATCCAAGAGATTTGTATTAGGGACTATGCGTTAGTGGTTAGTACATGAGGGGGGGGGGGCTGTATGCAACTAATTATGATTGGCAAAAGCTTTTTGCTTGCTGTGAATTACTATACAACTTTTTTGCCCGACCCCTAACCCGATAATATTCGTTGGGAGTATCAAAATGAATGGTGTACTGCGATATTTAACAACCAACATTCTTTCCACAGGGATGATCTTTGAGTGGATCCAAAGGCTAAAAAGATTTGGCTTTTAGTTGATTTATTAAAATTAATCTCTCCTGCTACTGCTGCTCACTATCACATTAGTATGTAACTGCTGAAATTACTTTTCCTTTGAAGCAATCACTCGAGCTGACAATTTTAGGTTTGTTCAATGCTCGGTTCCTCAAGGTTTTGGAGTTGGTTTCGCGGTTTTCAACCAAGCTGGAACCGCAGTCAATGTGGCCATTGTTGCAGCCTACATTACTGCGTATATCATTCTGAAACGGAGCAATGCAAGTATGTGTCTTGTATATTTCATCATGACTTTGCTGTCAACCTACCATAAAATCCGAGTTGCATTATCACAGCACGTCTCATATTTTTATTTGAGTTTTCATCGAATTTTAAAGTCAATCAAGAAGTTAATTGCAAATACTTTAGGCTCGAAGATGAAAATCGTGTTCAAGTCCATTTTCGTGACAGTAGCAGTTGTGATGGGCGGATGGTTCGCAACTTTTGTTGTAAACAATCTATGCCCTTATATTACCTCAGATGAATACTGGACGATGGTGATTAATATGTATGCAGGAATAATGGTAAATGGTTGTGGTGCCACGAACGTTTTTGTATACTACTCAATCAAGTGAGTTGAATTGAAAAAAGGATACGCAGCCCACATCTGATAAAGGCCTGTTTTTTGTGCCTGTTCTTTAGAATATTTTACTTTTCCGTAATCGTTTTTGAAAGGAAAAAATGTCCTTTGTAATCCAATATGCGAGCACATCGCGCACATTGAAACAGCTTTAGCTGTAGACAGTCAGCAAAAGCCCAAAAAAACATTACTTAAAAAGTACTTGCTTCATTTATATGATACCTACACTTGCGTAAAAAAGAAGAGCAAAAAAACATTCCTCAAAACTGATATTTTGCGACCATACAAGACCTAGAATGATGTGCAGTACACACGCAAAGTTACAAATGGCTGATGAAAAAAATGATGTTACACAGCAAATTTAGCTACTGCGTCAAAGAGTAAAAAATTTCCCCCGGGATATTCGCTACTTTTCGGGGTGACCCAAGCACAAACAAATCTTGGACACAATTTAGCTATGAAACTATTTTCAGCACTGAATATCGAGAAGTCATCAGAACGATGTTCGGCATGAGAACTCCAGTCAAGAAAATACATGAAGTCAGTACAATGCACGGATTGGATTCCACGAAAACCGCCAGCCCTTCTACGATTGCAATCCTTGACTAGACTTCTTGTTGGAGATCTCATTCCGTTTTTCTGTACGGGGTTATGCATTGCATTGTAGAACATAGGGCTTGCTATTTCGATTTGTTGAGCTGATTATAGTTGCTCAGTCGTTTAGGGAGAAGGAAAACATGTGCAATCATATTTTTTGACATTTCGCGTAACATGTAGTGCTGCACACTATATGTATAAGAACCCAAATACGAACTGTTTTCGCTCGGGAAATTTTAGAAAACTGGAAAAAATTCAGAAGATTGTCTTTGTTTGTCAAAAGTGATAAAAGAGACCGCAATGTGTTCTCAAAGCATGATATTGCTGGTAAAGACGCTGCAGATGAGAGTGCAATCTCCAAAGGCCCTTGACAAGAAGGTGCATCACTTTTCGCACAGTTGGCAGGGATGGCGCAGTCGCTGTGATCGTCGCCGATAGCTGTCTGCCGCGCCAAGTTCGATTCCTTGCTGTGGATGATGAGAATTTGTTAGGGACATCTGCATTGTTTGTGATGATTTAACGATAGTAGTTCGGACACAGTTTTACTTCCGGCTAAATATCATTTCAAATCGTCGCCTGTGTTCGTCAGCTGACCAGGGCAAGTAAAACAAAACCATCCTTAGCAACTGACGAAGTGTAGATTTAAAACTCATGATTTTCCAGGTTTTTAAATCATAATACTTCTTGAACGAAAACTACTCGCTATGTAACGTTATCTATATATATACAACTATTAACATGAAGTGTATGAGGAGATAATCTTGAAACTGTACCTCAAGCAAAGAAAAGAAAGAAAAGGCTTTGCTTCAAATAAACCTTGCTTTGTGTGCCTCTCTCAGACACAATGCAAAATTCCCCCTTGTTCTGTAGATTTGCGAAAAATCTGCTTTTGCCTTCGTTTCTCTAAAAATACGCTGTCAACTTCAAGCAAATCTCTAAGGAGCTCTTAAAACATCGCATGTAATGCGTATTCTAGAAAACATTGGTTTAAACGCAGATGGATGCCTGAACTTCTTATATACTAATTGAGAGGCTAGCCAAGCTACTACTGAAGGCGAGGCCATAAGTTCCATGGCAAGGAATTCAACTCTAAGATTTAATTTAGACCGCATTTTCTACCGAGTTCTGGGAGGTAATGCGTCTTGGAAATTTACGTTCTGAGCTAGGTTCAAAGTTGAATTCTCAGCAAAGGGCGAATTATGAGAGCAGCTCTCGAGCAGTGATATACCTGAGGCCTCTCAAACATCTTCGGCAATAAAATAGACACAACGATTGTCGAGACACCCCCTCTATTTCGTTGGCCGAGACAACGAAAAGCTAGCGAAGCCTATGGCCATACTTTAACCGTGCTGACGGTGTTACGGTGTTATTAGTGTTACCAGTATTACCTGTGTTACTCGGACAACGAAAAGCTAGCAAAGGGTGGATTCGAGCACATGTTGTTCAAAGCCGATCAAGATTTACCACTTCAAGTGATTAAAGTGAGACAAGACTCTGACAACAATGATACTGCATGCTATTCAGCTGATATGGGGTTGTATATAAGCAGTGATATAGTCTAATTACCATTCTATAGTGTTGTCATTCACCCAATGATGAGGTCGTACATGCTAGAAGAACCCGATGAAGCCGAAATTGGATTCCCCGAGGATAGCGTACGCTGACGCTTGTTGTGCCTGACAACTTGGACGTTGCGAACGTTTCAGGATGAGACAGGAGATCAAACCACGAGTGTTGAGACCGGAGAGAAGTCATATCGGTCAAAATTTTCTGAATCGTACAAGTATGATGTTGAAGAGAGGCTAAAGGCGACCCTGGAGCGAATGAGATCCACGTCATTTGACGATGTGAGTGAATTCATTGAACAATTGCAGCTTGAAACGGTGATTAGTTTGAGTGCGGTTAGTGGAACCACATGCAGCGTATGTTCTCTGACAAAAATGCTTGACAGGCATGCAAAATATGCATGATCCACTAGTGTTAGTGAGATTTACTTAACTTGAATCGGCAAGTTTTTCTGAGCTACTCAGCCTTGAAAAGAGCTGTGCAATTACAAAGTATATGAAGATACCAGTGCGTCACCTCTGCTTCGCAGAGGCTCGCACTGGCTCTACTATCCATATGCCTCATTACTTTCCCATAATGGTGGCACTGAAACTCACCGCGCAGTGGCCGACTACCACGAATAGGATGTAAACAACCATTCATTTTAAGGGCTTCTTCATGTGAGAATGGTGATTTCGCGAGGATGAAACTTTTTGCCGAAGAACAAATGCAATTTGAGGGGGTTCCTGGATTTTTTATGGTTTGGTAGTTGCTATAAGGCCAATAGCCACCGTGAGCAACCCTTCTGCGCAAAAATCTTCTCAAATGCGCCAGTAGGACGTTTTCAAATTGACCATTTACGCAACTAATCCATTTTGGCATCATTTTCGCAAAGTAGTAGATTTTTGCCCATTATTTGGGCTAAAGTCCAAGGCTTGCACATTTACTTGTCAAAAACCTCAACGACTTCGCAAAAAGTGCTGATAGGGACCCAATTTTGTGAGTCAGAAGCGAAGTGGACCCGTTTGACTCGCAATTTCTGTGAGTTCCACTCAACGAATCCGCTCATGCTTTCGCATGGTGGAGTTTTGTGCTGGTAGCATGTGCTGTGCAAAATTTGGGCCCAGGACGTTTGCTGGAACTTGCGCTATGAATTTCGTGACAGACAGACATTCAGACACACACACACACACACACACACACACACACACACACACACACACACACACACACACACACACACACACACACACACACACACACACACACACACACACACACACACAAAAAAAAAAAAAACGTAAACACCCTTAGCGCGTTATTATAGTAGGATCGCCTACAGCAATCTCTCGTTCGTATAGTGAGACACCAGTTGGAACTTTCTTAAGGGCATTTCATGGATTGGATCTGGAAGATACCAGACTGTCACAAAGTTTCTTCGCTTGGGCATCTCTAGACTACTTTCAAAGTTCTGGCAGTCATACTGTTGAGATATCCTTACCAGATGGCCTAGCTGTGATTAAAACTCACTCAGTATGCCACCGCTCTCAAGCCCAAGCGTTGGATAAGGCGCTCAAGGGGGGGGGGGGTGATTAGGTGATAAGAGTGTAAAATGTCAGCTTCATTTTTGATAAGTGTACTGGCTTTAGCAGTTCATGTCTCATTTCTATCAGGAAGGTGGAGCTCCCGATCTAAGTTAGGTTTACGTAAGTTATATAACGTTAGAAACCTTGCTCATCAGTTCGGATTTGTGCCGCATGGATAGAGAATGGTGTAATTTTTACAAATTTGAAGATGCGCAGGAATTGAAAGCCATTCAGACTTTGCCCAAGTATCAAATACCTAGGTTTAGTCTGGACGATTTCTGAATTCCAAGCGCACCGTTCGACTCAGCTCAGCGAGGCGCACCTTCTGATGTGTAGAAGCATAGGCTTAAATTTGACAGGCGTCCATATGTTTTTACCTGCGGTAGGTTGCTCAGTGTGCAATGAATAACACTGTTTAACCTACCATAAGCAATCTAATAGATTCGTGAAATTTGACTGCTTATTGTGCACCTACCGTATCCAAACGGACACATCGGTATATCGGAAGATGTGCCTCACCGAGCTTCCACTCTGAATTAAGAATGGCAATGCAACCCAAATTTCGAACTCTGATAGAGTTTAGGTGTTTTCTGACGAATAGACTTGCGGTGATGTATATATCAAAAAGGATGCACAAGATGAGATTTCCTTCACTAATGATTGCATCTCACAAGCATAAGAGCTGCACAGTTTTTGTTTGTGGAAGACTGCGATTATCACAGAGTAGGAAAAAAGCTACTGATTACAACTATCACTGTCCAAGACCGAAAATGAAGATTTTTTTACTGACCCTATCATGTCTTAAGACTGTTCACTCTTACAATTTTTAGAAATTTTTATTGCAGACAACATGCCTTCCTCCCAGCATTCCCGATTTAGTACTAAATGAGGTTCTTCAATGTTGTTTCAAGAAAAAGGTAACCAGAATCTTTGCTGGGTATATGATAGTATGGTATAAATTTTAGAGGACCTTTTTCCGAAGAACGGGCAAAATTTCGAAGCTGCAAGTGTGCCTTACTAATAAGGACACATTAATCATCTACAAAACTTCGGATACAGGTTAGGTTTGGCTTTGCAAAAACCTTTCTACAATTGTAATTATTGAATCAACTGTGAAAGCTGGAATCAACTGAAGCTTGACTGAATTAGAAAAATTCAAGGTTTGATTCTGGCACTAAGCTCGGTCAGAAAAACGAGCGTCACAACGCAGACAGTGAGCTTGAGTAGCGGAAAAGTTATGGTAAGATTCACTATTCTAGACTGCATGTGGAAAATGATGAGATTCTGTTTTCAGCTTGTTTGCCGCTACAGACTCGTATTCGATTTCGGAACTCTTAATCTCTTCCTTGTGAACGAAGCAATCCGAAGATGGCGAGTAGCGCTCGATGAGATTAACGACAAATATGCTCGTTTCCGTTATAATATTCCTGATGGTAGGTACAATGGTTTCTTGTGGAATCAAAAAGAACTTAAGATTGCAGAGGTCACCGAGCCTTGTACAGTCTCTGAGAAGAAAAGTTGTGAAAAGAGTTGTATGACTTCGGAATGCCAGGAAACGCAGAGGACCAACACTCGGAACGATTCGGTCATGTGCACAGGGACCCCTACCAAATTGACAGTAAGCGGGGTAAAGAGGGCCTTACGCAGATATTTTGAAAGCAGGATTCACTCGATTTCCAGCTTGATTCGGAGCCAAGCCGCAGGTCCTTGAAATGGTCTCATTATTCTGATACCACGAGCAGTGAAGATGATGAAGCCGCTGGAGAAAATATGTAAATTTCATAGCAACTTCTAAAAACAAGCACTAAAGGAGTCCTTTTAGACAGTCTGTTCGACGTGGAAAACGAAGCGTTGCTAGCCTTAGGGCTCGTATCCAACGAAAATTCTGTGCAGGACGTCATCCATCGTTCCGTACGACGAGGCAGAAGCGAGTGACGGAAATGTCAAAGGCTTGCCAGGTTTCAGAAAGAGAGGTAAGGGTTATAATTTGGGTGGAGGACTAAATGTCGCCGAATTTGGAAGAGTCCCGCGCGGATTCCCTGAAGGAACGCCTGTCCGCGCATGTACAAGCGTGCGTATTTGTCGCAAATGACCGCGGGGACCGCCCTTTTTCGGCGACATATAGTCCTACAACCTTATAATTTGAGTAAAATCTTCAGCAGGCGTAAGAAATGTTTAGAAATAACAGGAAAGATGAAAATGAGTTAATTAGTGGCGGTCCAGAAAACTTCAGGGGAGAGGGGAGGGAGAAAGGGGACAAAAACTTTTTCCAAATGAAGGGGCAAGGCCTTAGCAGCGCTCTACAAAAAAGTTCTTTGGAAGATACCAATGAGAAAAGGGGATGGAGGTTGGGGTCAGTCACACTTATGAATTTGAACTGATAGGATTTCGTAAACAATTTTATGTACTTATGTATACCACTTTCAGCTCATGCAACTGATGCTCATACCAGCAATGCGAAGACATTTGAGCAACGAGAAGTGCGTAGGACCACTTGTCACAATATCGGAGACGTCAATCACATCTGTTCCACCACTTCCCAGCAAACCACCTCCAGAGCTGACCTTTAGCGAACAACATCTGGGCGCCAGAATCTCTGCTCGGGACGCAACGCCATCACCGTACAGACAAGTGTCCATCAAAACGGCATTGACTAGTTCTTCCTACCAAAAACTGTGCACAGACGTTCCAGAGTCACCGTGCCCGACACCATCTGCGTCTTCGGAAAACCAGGAAGAGGTGCGCACTGCTGTCTCGAGAAGGTCGGGGGTTTCGAAAGTTGATGTTAAGCCTGAAGAACTTGAGGTAGCTGTGGAAGTGAAGTCACAAGTGCTCCAACAGCTTCCATCAACAACTGAACCAGTTCTAACACCCGTGCTGGAACAACCGCCAACACCAGTAGAACCTCTGGATAAACCGGAACAGAAAGAGATAGCGCCACTGCCTCAAGAAGCAGTATTGAGCTGCAAAATAAGTGACAAACCCACCAAAATAAATGTGACCAGTATGGTAGTTGAAGAACCTCCGAAATCTGCAGCACTGCCCATCATGGTTGCTCCTCCCAGAACTCTCAAAGGCATACCTGCAATTAACAAGACGAAGCCAAGTAGCCCAATTCCGATTCGCCCTCCTCGCCGTGGACCTGTTCGTTTCACCATTTCACCGTACCATTCTGAAGAGGAAGACCAGGAAGTGAAGAAGAAGGAGTCGGATCAACCCCCAAACAAAGCAGAAGACTTGCCACCAGACGACACCCAGCACTCAGACCATAAAGAAGCAACCGAAGTGAAATCCAAAGAAGCCCCTATCGTCATCGGCAAACTTGATCTTGAATGGTTGCAACGTTCCCAAAAGGCATAGATGAAGCTCTAACGATAATGCAAAAAACCGTGACATATTTTGGGAATCATAAAGCTGAGCTTCGATTAGTGTTTCTGCACACGACAGTGTCACATTTAATATAGAGAACATAATACAGACACAATAACTAACTGAAAAGTCGAAAGCATGCGTTTTTTCTGGCAAAAACTATTCTGAATAAGGTCACATTTCGATGGAAATTTACCCATTGAATGAGTTTTTATTTGCGTGGGTCAAACAAATGTGATCATACTCAGGAGTTGGACTGTACTCATAAGACAGAACGAAGTTTTTGCTCGAGGAGTCATTGATATATCGATGCCATATTTCGAACTTATTTTGCGGATACACATATCCTCGAAAATTATATCGTGTCACGCATTATCGCTAACTAGCTCTGTATTGAAAAGTTTTGTTCCAAGGGCAGGGGAGACATCTGTTGGGTTGGTGGGCGTGGAGTTGGCCAATCCTTCGGAGTATTTCGCATAGTTGATTTTACATTTGAAATTCAGTCTTAACGATATTTTCTAAGAAAATACATGCATTTTCTCGCGGCTCCGCCCCAAACCCGTAAGAAACCATTTATCCTTTGCTTTTACTTCCAAAACCGTAAGTCATTTGTGCCGCGCCCTGATCATTAAGCACAGAATCTATTTTGGGTTAATGTTTAACATCAAAAATTTGCTATCGAATAGTTGACGTCAACTTTGATTGTATAATTCTCACAACCAATAAGTATAAGACTTTGTCTGTAGTCTATAAAGGTATTCAGTGCGAGCATGGCTCATATTTACAGCTATTTCGGCTGTTACTTACTGCTGTAATATGGTTTGAATGTCTCAATAAAAGCCTTTCCAGGATCTTAGAGTGGTAGAAAATTCAGATGGAGCACGACAAGTTTCGATATCTTCTCTCCGTCACTATTCAGATGATCTCCCTCAACTCTATAGTTTGCATGCCTCGAAAAATCCGTAGCAATGAGCAAGCTCACCAATCAAAGTATGATGAAATAAGACGGAAAAAGCAGGTGACACTTCCAAATAATTGCAACAGCTCTAATTGCTGTTCCAGCATTCTCTATTCCATTCATCGAGTCACATAAGCGATATTGAAATACTTGTAGTTTACTGGATTAAAATGACATAAAAAAACTGAAACTAGTAATAGTACTTTCAAGCAAATAATTTCGTAGTCAAACCGTTTCGAATGCTATAATTTTACCGCTGCAAAAATCATTACTGGGTTGATGCTATTATCTATCATGGGGTATACGCCATATTCTAGCATAATACCCTGCCTTCCACGATTTCTGATTTGTTGTAATTTTGCCATAAACCTCTATGGAATACATGCTGTTACCGTGGGAGCGATTTAGCAACGTAGCATAAATTTTTGGTAGAACGTCACGAATTTTAACAGATATGCGCAGCTATTTGGTACTGGACGGACTCATATAGCCACTACGAGTACGAATTTGTTTACTTTTGCTGCTCGTCCTCCTCCGCGACTGAAATCAAATTCGTTATTCCTTTTGATGTTCTGAGGTTTACTGTAATGGAGGATAACTGCAAATCCACATCTTCAATATAGCTACGACGAATTCACCTATGAGATCAATTTACTTGACATTGTTGAAGCACGAAAATCAGCCTCTCAATAATGCGTAGGCATTAATTACATATATCACGAGCTCAATTAGGTTCTTCATCACATAATATTACCTTGTCACATTGAGCCTGCTCACGTACGGCTAGTAGATCATACTTTGTTCGTATATTATATCATCGGTTCCGGAGAAAACATGTACGGAACTCCTTTATAACTGTTGTTGTTACTCGTGATTGCTGCTTGGCGTAATTTTATTTAATTATATGAAGAAAATAGATTGTTGAATCTCGATGTTAACAGCCGCACAAAAGCATAAATCTGGGGCAATCACTGCATAAGTATAGGAACGTATTGCTGTAGAGTTCTATGAGAAATTTTCTCTCAACAACACGATTTACTACGTACCCTCAATTTTGCGGGAAATAATACTGAGAAATATACACCATCCTCTCAATAAGAGTTCCTTGACAAAACTTGATATCGCCGTATTCTTCTACTGTTCCCCGTTCTTGAAATAAAAACTGATTTTCTTCGTCATCTCCCTCCTCTTTGAAATCACACTTCAAAGGTAAAGCAATGATAGCGAACCAGTTATGAAAGTCTATAAGCCTGCCAGCATAAGTTGTGTTGGAAAGGTATGTAGGACAATCATTTTATCGTTCCAGAGAAAGAAAGCTAGGTTTTTGACGGAAGTGATTTGAAGTAGCTTGATGAGCTTTTCCCACGATCGCATTGTTGCATGCATAGCAACGAGATCTGCATTTTCTTAGCTCATTTAGTTGAGCAAGGCCTTTGATTTATAGTTCTATCCTGTTTAAAAACTGATCGATCAAACCATCGCTTCTGACGACAGAGGATTGTCAGGCTGCTAAATATTATAATAAAAGTCTGTAACCGCGAATCGAATCTTGTCATATATGTCCTTTCAAGCTGCTTTCAGTGAGATCTTAAACACCCATTAAACATCGAGATTTTCTTAGTTTGGAGGCTAAGCACTTGTACCTTTTATAAATCTTGGATCCTGAAACTTCTCTATAAGTCCATAACAAAACGATGCAGCTTCTAACGAACTGGTAATGAAAAGCCATTTCAGAATTATGGAACACTGTTTGATATTAACTGGAGAGCCACGAGGTAACATAGAAAATGTTATGAGATTGCATAAAGTCGGGAAAAAGTTGTCAGAATGTTGCCATATTTATCCACTACGCATTCATTAGGTTGGCACATGAGTAATGCAACTCTTTATATAATTTTTATCTTTTTAGACGCAACACATTCTTTTTAGACGTAACATATTTTCTGGCAAACTGCCTTTGGAGACATTTTTGCCAAATTTTGCAGTCATATGTAAGGGTCACGATGAGTATACGGTATAATGGGAAAAATTTTAGATTGCGTCAGATTTGATGAAAATTGACCTATAGAGGTTAATCGACATGCTGATCACAAAAATGAGACCCCTTTCGCACGAAAAGGCCTCTTTCGTAAGGTCAAGAAAGAAAATTTATTTTAACGACAAGTGAATATGATATTCGTGTTCATGCATTAGATCCTATGTGCAAAGTTTAAGCGAATTGTGGTGTTTTGCAGCTTGGTTATTGACAGATAAGATTGCCCTCCAAATTTGAAGCATTCGACTTACACTACTTTTCAAAGGCTTACCTTGATTTGCCTCTGATTTTCACTTCTTTTTCAATGATTCTAATGTGTCGACTTCCAGCTATATGCTCCCTGTTATTCTTTTTTGATATGTATGACTGAAGTTTTGTACGGCTTCACGTTTGCAATTCAGCAGTTTTCGAAACTTGGTTTTTTCTACTACTTATCAAAAATCAAACGGTTTGTGCAGACTTGCGGCTTACATCACATTCTACATGATACCAGAAAATGAGAGTGCTACATTGAATAAGCAAAAAATTATGGGAAAAGTTGCGAAACTTATGACTTATGTGCCAACTTAATAATTGAAATTCTATAGGCTTGCAAGGATGCATATAAGCACTAATGTACTCTAAAACTATGTATAGCGTAGGTTATCGGAACGTTTGCGTTTATGAGCATAGGAAGCATAAGTAGCTTGTTACAAGTAATAATGTACCAGTCAAAAGCAAATGATATAGAAGTTCTTCATAGAAGTTCGGACTGAATGAGAAGCAGCATTCAAGGACTATATCCACAATCAGTCTTATCTCGCAAGAATGTGTAAAGAATCGATCACTGCAGCTGCACTCCTATGCTTTTGCCATTTTTATTGAGATACAATACATAACGTAAAACTCATTGGTATCGAACTTTCGAAAAGTGTAAATGCATGAGTATGAGAATACAAAAGAACATTTAACATTGTTTAAATAATGCTTGCATTATTTCCTCAAGAAAATATAATCTCGTGTCAGTAGATTGATGGACTAATTGCTCGAATCATTCACCTAGTTAATCTAATGTGAGCGTCAAGTTCCTATATGATTTCTCTAGTAATTGTTTCAAGTTCCGCGTTCATCAAAAGTAATGGACGGCTATGATCCGGTACTTCTGCCACCGCCCCTCATTCTTGGTACTCTATCAGCCATTGGTATCACCGGCAACATTATTATGATCATAGCGACATATAAAGCCAAGTAAGTCGACGATAACTATAAGCTATTTATGAATTCGGCATGGAAGAGACCTTTCCTAAAGCTAACCTATTTGAGTTAATTCATTTTATTGTAGCAAATCCGATTTGCCTTCCGTTGAAGATACTGCGTTTTTGTCCAAGATTGTGCATTCATTTACTATTTAGAACTCTAAAATTAGATGCAAATCATCTTGGTACAGTTCAAGCTGCCATCATTGAACCTCACCTCGTCTTTTTGCTAGTTTCTGGTTTGAAATTGTTAGCAACTCTGTTTTTTTTTTCGGATCAGTATCATGTATCTGCATCCTTTTTTGAAATCACATTTTCCTGTGTTGATTGTTAGTGGTTTCTAACCAAAGAAATTTTCACTGAGAACTAAAAAACACTTCAAGCTATTTGAATTCTAGATAGAAATCTCCTTACTTTAGATAAATGTAAGGTGTACCGCAATAAATTCAGCCATGCATAATATCAATGTGAGGCGCCAAACATTGTTTGAGCAACTTAGAATTCTGTTAAAAACGTGTGAGTTTCAACGTTTCATGTGTGAGAACACAGCTATAGTGGGGCCTCGGCCAGCTTCCCATAGGTACCTCCGCGGCGCAAACGCATCGCGCGCCAATGCGCGCTCTGTTGACGCTTCTCATCTCACTTGTGAACAAAAAAATTTTTACGTGAAGATAGGGCAGAAATAAGAAGTGAAACCCTCTAATCTCAGCAGCACAACCTAAGCAAAAGATAACTTTCACAACTTTCACTAACGCTTAGTTTCTAGTCAATCTCACAAATAAATGTATGATACTACTAGTAATGGGTGAAAGTCACAGAAATTACAGAGAGAGCAGCATTTCTGAAACGTTTTTCTTCGATAGTCGTAATAAACCTGAGAAGTGTAAGCTCGAGAGCGTAATTGTATAAGAAGATGCTTCAATGCTGCACCGAAAAGGAACTAAAAGCACCTATACAAATAAATTCAGTCGAGGAGATATGCTAGATCCGTGATAGAAACCTTTGCAGATAACTCTCCCTAAAATGCACTCAATCTTCACTACCAAGGAAAAAAACTAGAACTTTTTGAGATAAACGCTCCTCAAGACCTCTAAGGCTTGTAAAAGCTGCTAACATCAGCTGTTGTGGGTCGCTTTACCCTGAAATAAAGAGATTACAGAAAGAACAAAGTCAGTAAAGCTTGAAAAACGCATGAAAACCACTAGAGGCGGAATCAAAAGCGCACTGAAGGCATGCGCTGCGCTCGCGGCGAGGAGATACATATGAGAGCCGGCCGGGGTCCACACTATAGCTACACTCCATTCGCAATAGAGACTAAAACTCAAATCAAAGCATGAGAAATGCATTCAAAACACGATACAACGTAATGCCGTTTAGCGGCAAAAGCTGTCTATAAAAGTTTTAATGTCGCACTCGCACAAAATTCAGATTGCTATCCAGACACTATTCAGAAGGTTGAAGTCGCCGTGTCACATCCTCATCGCATTCAATTGTCTTGCCGATTTATTGCATGAATCTGGTCAATACGCATTCGTCTACCACTTCTTCAGGAAATGTAAGCATTGATATATTAGCATAGCATGCTCTTGAAATCTTACAATTCCAGCGTTCATGGTCCAGAGAGACTGCTTTTACTTGTTATCGGTTTCGATAATTGGTGCATGTTTCGGAAGTCCACTAATTTTATGTCTTGGCATTGATCGATTCATTGCTATCAGACTTCCGTCGAGGTAAAATGACCTTAATTTCAAGAGTACAAGACGACTTTTTCGATTTTCTCAACGAGCTGCTCAGAAGAACTCATTGTGCTTCGGAAAACGAAACTTATGTTACATGATACTATCAGGCAATACGTAGTACTGTATGGAGTTCTTTAGTCGCGAAATGTTTCGATGTGTCCAGGCTGGTCGATTTTAGAAAAAAAAACAGCGCGTCCTGTACTTGTGAAATAGGACAATCACTTTTGAAAGACAAAATCAGTATCTATGCGCTAGGAAATTTTACTTCGTAAATGGATTTCGCCAAATATACAACGGAAGAATGTGACTGACACATTCATTGACAGCTGATACATTTTACAGATATCGTTTCTTCCAAACTATGCCATACACCTATGTTGGTGCATATATAATACTATCAACGATATACACTGCCTATATCCTCATTTCGGCCATCCTGACGAGAAGCAATGAGTAAGCATGGTAAAGGCAACGGAATATATCTAAAAGACCGAAGGAAACTTTTCGGTCGAAGTCCTTGACCAATTTACGAAAAGCAACATGTATTGAAGGTGGCTCAAAAGTATGCTTTGTCTGATCTTCTTACATCCCTTCCCGCAAAATCTTTTTCGATTTAGAGTACCATTCTGTACAGTCGGCATGAACTTAGATTCGTAGTAGATCGAATCACATAACTCTGCATTACTGTAGAATTCCATTTAGGAACTTAAAGAGGGTCTTGAGCTAATAGGGGCTCTTCTGCCTCACAAGGGAAGGATACTTGGTGACTGTGACCTCTTGAAATGAAACGTATTCCATTAGATGCATCTTGAGGCACTGATTCGAAATCTGCTTTCGATATCCGCTGTGCGCTCTTCCAAAAGATGTTACAAGCATTTCTTGCTACAATAATTTGCACTGTTTTGATGCAGGATTCACCAATATCATTAGAATGTTCGTTTACGCACTACAAAAGAGCGTCCAAATAAAGCAAAGCTTCACTTTAAGCTCAGGAAAACTGTTTCCGATACATCGGAGTTTAAAAGGCCTGGATACTGACGATTCTGAGTGCCTAAATCTCGTAAAATCAATGTAGAGAAAAATTCGTAATTTCGTTCATAAAGTCGGACAGCAGATAATGAACATAGATTTGGAATCAGCGTTTCAAGGCGCATCTACTGATATACACATTGCAAAAGGCCACGGTCACCAAGTATCCTTCCCTTGTCAGAAAGTGAACCAAACACTAAAAGGCAGCGTCCTGGCATATTTGGACATTTTCGAATACTATCATAACTGAGTACTTGGACCTTGATCTGGAACTATTGCGCAAATCCAACTCTCAAGCATTCCCTGTAAAAGGTGAGAATTGGCGCAAAAAACGCCGAGCTTTGAGGACCACGCCTGCTCCCTCGCACGGCCCGCCCCTTGAACATTTCTCCTCGGCCCTTTATGTGTTTGGCAAGCACAATCGAACGCATGGTGTCTACCTATTAATGCTCGCTTTCGACAAGGACAGCAGTGGGAGCATCGTCCAGTTCTCACAAAATTGTTCAGAAAATGGGATTGAGGAATTCACACATTTTCAGTGCCATATCTGGAGTCAGCGAAATGAAAAGGCCTAGATAAGGCAAATAGAAGACGAGACTCCGCCTGGACGCTGCCTTCAAAACTCTTACATTAAACCAGTCAGACTCGCTGACTCGGAATATAAAGATCGCACTTCATCGTATTGCTTTATTTTGAGTTATGCCAAGCATACCGCAATGACTGCATTTTCGCTAACAAGGGAAGTTCGCCGAATCGAAATGGCCGATTGATACGTGGTATATACCCGGACGCGGGGCTCGGAAGCTTAGTAATAAATGTGCGCCCATTAGCTGCGACGCGTTATTGTGAAGCAAGTTATGGCCCTCTGAAGTTTTTGGCGTGTGCATGTCTAGAGAACACACAAATGCTCCGATTGTGGTCATGTGGTGTAGTGGTTAGCGTCTCGGACTCACAGGTGACCGGTGAGGGTTCGAATCCTGTTGCTGTCCACATGTTTTGCGTTCTTTTCAAAATCATTTTTTACCTGTTTTATGTATTATTGAGGTAAAAAATGACACACACTAGTTACGGAATGATTTTTCTCACGAAAATTCGACCAATTCGATATATGTAAGATTTTCGTAGGACCTAGCAACGACTTTTTAGCAACGGCTTCACTTGACTTTGAAGATTTGCCAAATCCTCACTCCCACATACTTTCTTCGATTGCACGTAGTATTTACGTGACAATCTCCAAGTTGTATCACGTCGTACTATCTATTCTTGCTAATCGGCTACCTTGTGAGAATGACACGGCAGGATGTGTAATTAGTAGAGTTTAACCACCCGTATGTGTCATTTTTTACGTCAGTAATGCATAAAACAGGTAAAAAATGAATTTTGAGAAGAACGCAAAACATGTGGACAGCAACAGGATTCGAACCTCACCGGTCACCTGTGAGTCCGAGACGCTAACCACTACACCACACGACCACAGTCGGAGCATTTGTGCGTACTCTAGATATGAACACGCCAAAAACTTCAGAGGGCCATAACTTGCTTCACAATAACGCGTCGCAGCTAATGGGAGCACATTTGATACTAACCTCCCGAGCCCCGCGTCCGAGTGTATACCACGTATCAATCGGCCATTTCGATTCGGCGAACTTCCCTTGTAAGTGAAAACGTGATTAGAACATCTAAACGATCTACAGTCTTGTAGAACTGAAGCAGTGAAATCAAGCCCTGCCAGATTATTCGAATTTTTTTGAAAGGGCAGATAGCTCATACGCTAGCTGCAAGCCACCGTAATCCACAGCATGAAAAGCGATCGATGATTTGCTCACAGTAATTTAGGTCATACAACGGCACTTAAGGTTGACAGAAACTTGGAAGAGATATAGCGAGAAGAGTGAGGGAACTTAGGAACGATGAGGGTCAAAAAAAGGGTGAGGGAACTTAGAAACCCGAGCCTAATTAGCCCGACTCGGGGAGTGCCTGCAGGATACAGTCATGCTCGCTATCTCCGATTACTTTCTAGGACAAAGCGACAATTCTAAGTCCCGCCCCCTAAGAGCCTGTTTTGGAACCTGGCCAAGGAATGCTAAAAAATCCCAATTGAACTTCAGGTCGCTGAAATTGACTCTTAGCCAAAAACCTTCAAAATGATCGTACGAAGGTGAAATTAGGTTCAAACGAAAGAGAAAAACAGTGCCGTCATTACAACATATCTACTGATTGAAACTTACGAACACAAGATTTTTTTGGTTCAAAAGTTTATTTGAACATCAAATTCAGATAAAACACAGGAAGATTATTCAAAAAACTCTGGAGTTTTCCAAAATAATTTATTTAAGTGCTAAATCCTGGCAAAAGGTCGGAAAATTACTTGTGAAAGGACATTTCAAAAACTTCTCAAAAATAGTAATTATTTAAGTGCTGGAATTCGGGAAAAAGACTAGAGAATGAATCAAGAAATGAAAGTTTAGAAACTTCTCAAAATAATATTCATTTATAAGGTGAAATTCGGGTAAAAGACATTGAAGAAATGACAACAGTAATCATAACTATCAGAGTTGCCTGAAAAGAAAGACATAAAAATAAGTCGAGATTATCGATCGTAACGATAAGTAATTTTCGTACTTTAGGCTACCATTTATGCAAAAAATTTTGTCTCAAACTGTTCTTCCAACCTTTTCTTGCCGTAGATTGAGGATACTGCTTACAGCATTTTTGGCGATGGCGAACTTGTTTTGTTTTTCTAGTCACGCGAATTTCATCACACAAATTTTTTTGAAAATTTTAACTTTCATTTATTGGATGTTCTTCGCACATCAGAATTCGCTAATAGACTATCTTGGGTCAGCAATATCAATAGTGAAGCCTTTAAACTGTCATCCTTGAATGTTTTCTAGCCATGTTTGTTTGTTTTGTTTTTCTAGTCACGCGAATTTCATCACACAAAATTTTTGGAAAATTTTAACTTTCATTTATTGGATAATTTTCTAATCTTTTGCCCAATCAATAGAAGACAAGTAAGCTATTATTTGTGTTTTTAAACTGTCATTTCTTGAGTGGTTTTCTGGCTCCAAATTTTTCCGAATCTCAGCATTTTGTCAGTTCTTAAATGGCTTCTAGTCTTTCGCCCTAATTTCATCACTTAAATGAACTATTTTTTGAGGAAATTTTTGAGCTGCCATTTCTCACCCTAGTCTTTTGCCCTTTCAGTTTGGAATTAGCACTCAAATAAATTATCTTGGAAAACTGCAGAGTTTCTTGAATAATCTTCCGGTGTTTTGTCTGAATTTAATGTTAAAATAAACTTTTGGATCAAAAAAAAGAATGTTGTGTTCTATTAGTTTCGATCATTAGATAAGTTATAATGACGGCACGGTTTTTCTCTTTCGTTTGAACCTGATTTCACCTTCGTACGATCATCTTGAAGGTTTTTGGCTCAGAGTCAATTTCAGTGATCAGAAGTTCAATTGAGATTTTCAGCATTCTTTGACCAGGTTCCAAAACAGGCTTAGGGGGCGGGGTTTAGAATTTTCGCTTTGTCCTAGGGAGTAATCGGAGATAGCGAGCATGACTGTATCCTCAGACACTCCCCGACGGGCTAATTAGGCTGGGGTTCCTAAGTTCCGTTCCCCACGAGAAGAGATATAAACGATTAACAATTAAACAGTGTACATATACTTTAAAACATCCTTAAGGTTGAGTGTGGTTTATAATTCGGATTTTTCAACAACCTAATATTCTTTCGTCAAAGTAGCACTGAAAAACCCACAAATTTTCTACTTAAAAGGCTTTCTACCTTTGGCGGTATCCACAGTAACCCATTCGCACGAGCATACTAATTGAGTAGGAAAAGTATTCAGTTTTCGGTAAATCTTGCGCGGCGGCTTTATGGTACAAATCCTTCATTCTTTTCTCAGGTGATGGACATGCCGCAAAATACGAAAATACCTGCTTGAGGTGTAGCGAAAAATTGCATTGAGGGCTTCGCGAAGAAGTTCGGAATAGCGAATTAATTCTGATCACTTTTTCGAACAAGCTAACAGAGCTTCTCATACATCTTATCAAAGGTGCAGCAATTCAGGCTTGTTCAATGTTCGATTCCTCAAAGTTTTGGAGGGGCCTTCGCAATTTTCAACCAATCTGGAGCCGGAATAAACATAGCGATTGTCACAGTATATGTTACTTCATTTGTCATTTTAAAACGGAATAATGCAAGTAAGTGCTCTAATTGCCCACTTTGGACGCTCTTTTTGCATTTTTGGCATATGTCTCAGGTCCGAAAATGAGAATTGTGTTCAAGTCAATTTTTGTGACGGTAGCGATAGTAATGGGAGGATGGTTTGCAACATTTATTGTGAATAATCTGTGCCCTTATATTACCACTGACCCATACTGGTCCTCTGTGATCAACATTTATGCAGGAGTGATGGTGAATGCCTGTGTTGCTATGAACGTTTTTGTTTACTACACAATCAAGTAAGTTTTTTTACTTTCTGATATTTTTTATGTCTTACCTCAATACGTCTTGGTCTGACGATTGTAAAATTTTGGCAGTTATTACTATAAGTGAGAAATGAATGAGACAATACAAGATTTGCTGGGGTGCGTGGCGTTAGGTACCCAGCCGAGGTGTGGGCGTTAGGTACCCGGCCATCAGTGGTATGCACTAAGCCACGCCCCTTGGTTACTTTAACAGCGGGGACCTAACGATACACTAAATCCTAGCTGCTAGAACAGCTTACCTAGCTCGCTAAAGCGCTGGCGCTTGCGACCCACACAGAAAAGACATTTGGAGGAAATGAAAAAAAAATTGCGCGAATAATGGCGCAGTTTTATACACAACGTTTTTTTATTGCCTCTTTTTTTTCAATTTTAGAATCACAGAAGTTCGGTGAAAGTTAAAAACTGAAAAAGAATTCTATGATTCTAAAAACAGGGTAAACTTTTGTGAGCACTTCACATAGTTTTGCAAAAAAATGAATCTGACTTAACCGATAATGTCAGCGGAAATTTCAAAAAAGAAAACTTTATAGAAATCCAATGAACCACAGTTTTATGATTCTAACGGGTCAAAGCGCACCTTCGGAAATGCTCCTGGCAAATAAGTTGCGCGGAATATTCCTTTCACATACATATTGTTGTCGGCCTCGTTTTGAGGTGTGAAGATAAGGGTCGGAACCCATTAGCGTCACTATTGCCACACGATTGTAAACTACATGTTGTAGATTACCGCTATTAGGCGGTCGGGCAGGAGGCAGCAAAGGCTCGCCGCTTCTGCTTATGGAAGTGCCTAAGGAACTTCAGACTTCCCCGCGCCTCTAATTACTTCTTCGCACTTCTAATTACTTGATATGACCTACGCCAAATTGATCGCTGATTTCTTAAAGCGTGGCAAGTTTTGAGATGGCTTTTATGTTTTGAATTCATAGCAAATAAAAAACAAATTCAAAAATTACTCATAGATAGCCATTCAACGTCCAATGATTTGAAAGTATGAATTGGTCTACTCAATCTTCAAACCAGAATCTCAAACATGTCAATCTTTCTCAGTTATTCCGATCGAAGGCAAGGACTTTGAAGACTGATTGCACTCGTCCTTTATTCTGCGACAGAATACTTCCTTCTGTTACGAATTTTGGAGCAAATGCCCTGAACCCAATATTTGAATAGGCCGAAAACAATTATAGCTGAGATTAAAAGAAATTGCAAGATTCTTAAATTGATCCAGGATGGGATCCTCTTCAAAAAGATTCTCGTTCAATCCTCTAGCTTGTAAAGTAATCAGAGGTGCGAAAAGTGATTAGAGGCGCGAGGAATCTGAAGCTCCCCAGGCACTTCCAGAAGCAAATGCTGTAGGACTTTGCCGCCTCCTGCATGACGTCCATAGTGTTTCATAGCATTCTCTTTTCTAGCAGCCAGAATAGATTCAAGTTATCCAACCAGCTATGAATTTTCTTGTGACTCACTAAGAAGCGAAAGATGTCGTCAACCTGTCTCATTCTATTGGTACACACTCATCTGAAGTTGGCATAGCTCTATAATGTAAAATTTTCATTGATTGAGACAGGGCTAGTGGCCTTCCCATCAATTATATATTTCCCAATCGTGAAACCATTTTCTTCATTGTCTTATACTGTAAATGGTACTATATGTATATCTTTTGCTGATATTCTTTTTGTACATTAATACTCCGGTTTTCTAGCATTGCAAGACTTGATTTTACTATTTCTACTCACGTGTTTTTGCACGTATCAATAAATAAATAAATAAATAAAAAATTAATAGGAAGTTACGTAGTTCTCCTCAAAGTTCCGATTCCTGATGACAAATTCTCGTCGAAGCTTTCTTTCAATCAGCTCCACTTCTCATTGTCAAACTTGTAGTTGGAGCAGTTTTTTGAAACAAAGTAATATATCCTGTAACCTATTTGCCAGGAGCATCTCCAAAAGTGCGCTTTGATCCATTGAAATCATAAAATTGTGGTTCATTGGAATTCTATAAAGTTTACTTTCTTATTCCCGCTGACATTATCGGTTAGATTAGCTCATAAAAGCTTTACCCTGTTTTAACTTTCATCACCGAATTTCTGGGTTTTCAAAATTGATAAAAAAAGAAGCAACGGAAAAGCGTTGTCTACAGACTTGCTTCATTCGCGCATTTTCTCTTATTTCCTCTAACTATCTTTCTTCTGTGGGTAGCAAGCGCTAGTACTTTAGCGAGCTAGGTAAGCTGTCCTAGCAGCTAGGATTTAGTGTATCGTTAGGTACCCCTGCTAAAGCAACCAAGGGGCGTGGCTTAGTGTATACCACTGATGGCCTGGTACCTAACGCCCACACCTTGGAGGGTACCTAACGCCCGCCCCCCGATTTGCTGTCAGTAGGGGCGATATGAAGTTCTAATTGCACTACATCGTCTCTTAAACGCGGTTTTCTTAGCCCGGTGATTTAGCACTGAATATCGAGAAGTCATCAGAGGAATGTTTGGCGTCAGAACATCAGTCGCAAAATTACACGAAATCAGCACGATGCATGGGTCGGAAGGAAAGAAAACTATTGTGACCACCGTCGTACTGTAGCATTTTTTTTCATTTCTGTATTCAAAATGTGAACATTGATTGTTATTCTTTATTACATGTCATTCATCTTTTGACACCTGTGAAAATCTCGAACTTTATATGTGCCACCCCTTTCTTGAGGCTTGCGAATCCTGAGGCATTATCGTATACCACGTTTTAAACCCTGCTTCAGCTTTGAAAAACACCGAACGTATTCAAGATGCATAATCGCCGTGTTCATCCTCACCATGAAAACTGAAGCATTGTCTCTGTTTGCCATGTCCATAAACCTTCCTTCAGTTTTGAAACCGATTGCGTTTGAAGTGCACATTGGAACTGTTCATCATCACCATAAGCAAAGCTTTATATGACGGAAAAATCAGAATTTCACAGTCTTCAGTGATTTATGAGTGATCGTAATTGCGTTCCATTTTTATTTCTTCACCACTTTAGCCAACGGTGTCGCCACTGAAATAGATGATTTTCCACAAAATCACTTTACATTTGGTATTCATCTCTTCCCTAAAGGAAAAGATAATTAACACATTGACCGTGTACATCGCGCGTATGCACGTCCTGACTTCCGTTTAGCTTTTCGTGCATCCTCGAGTCATTTGCAACTTGATATGCGTATTGCACACCATACGCGCTATTTGACGAACTTAGAAGATTGGAACCTACTCATTTCAGCGATTTCACCTCGTTTCCTTGTCTCTTTTGATTTGAAAGATATTAAGTATTTAGTAGTATACACTTTTGCACTTTGTTACGCTAGAACAGATTTGATCGAGAAGTTGATGTTAAGGGTGCCATCCGTTGAAACGCTTTGTGTGCACGCTCACTTTTTAAGTGACGAATGACTCGACGATACGTAAGCTCAAAATGCTTTTAGTTTTCAGGTATAAGTATAAAGAAGAAGATCTAAGGTAACTGTGCAGTGATAATACTGAAGACATGATTGTCATTTAGGACTCAGGACGTAGCGGTGCTTAGCAGGAGTTCAAACCGCAAAATTGGGTATTCAGTCCATTTTCAATGTGTTAGATATGAGCTACTTATTTTTTTTTTGAATGCAAACATATAGCTGCTCTAGAGCAATTGATGGTGAACTTGGTCAAAGAACGTCAATATAATAAAGTCTTACTCAAAGGAAGGGTCCAGACAGCCATTGCAAAAATCTTTCTATGTGTAACTCTAGGAGAACTTTGTGAGATGCACGTAGTTCTGGAACATTGCATGTGTTTTGCATAACGTCAAAAAGATTCTCACTTCATCATTTTGTGCATACGCGCGTATGCACGCGGAACATGCGCTAGAGACCATAGCGAGAGTTTTGCCAAATTGACTCGGTGGTCAACGAGTGTACATTCGAGTAAAGTTGGTGCTAAATATAGTGCCCTTGCGGCGATGCGGTAAAATTTGGGTGCAGACAACTAGTACGCTGCAAATGCAGAGATTATAACCACTTGTTCATGCGCGAAATTTGCCGCCTAGTCTCGACGCCGCAAAGCTAATACTTACCGTTAGAGTCTTGACTGTAATTTTCGACGAGTAGCATCTCAAAACACGGAACAATCTTTCAAGCCATTTGGCTCTTTTCCAACAGATTCCAGGAAAGTTATAGGCTCCACAATGATATCTCAAACTTACATTTACTTGCTTTGTTTACAACCTTCTCTAGTGGCTTTGGCAAGACGGGTTTCAAGGAGGATTTTGTCGCCTTGGGTTTCTCTGCTTCAGCAGAGTTCTCGGCAGGCGCCACCTCTGTAATGCTATGTAGTAGTGAGCTGATCGTTGTCGGCATTTCTAATTATTCATTGAGGAAAGTTATATTTTTAGAGTTATATGGGATCTGAATGCTTTTGTGCACTGATAAAGAAATGTACTGTTTTAATGCCGAGGATCGGTATATTATCAAATGTGGTTGAAGTATAGAGAGGTAGACACAAAATGAAAAACCACCATCACTTTATTTGAATAAAGATCAGGCCATTTTTGCAGGGTATTTTATCAAAACATTTGGTTATTTTACATCAATTTACTAACCTTATTTATTATACCAGTGCGTCACCTCTGCTTCGCAGAGGCCCCACTGGCCCTTCTTTCTGTATGCCTTACTCATTCCCACATAATAATGACATTGAAACTCACCGCGCTATGCAGGCTATCACGAATGATTTGTAAACAATCACTCATTTCAAACGCTTTTCCATATGAGGTCGGTAATTTCGCGTGGATAAAACTTTTCCCAGAAGAACAAATGAAAATTTGATTTGGTTTTTGGACTTCTTATGGCTTGATGTTCACCATAAGGTACAACAATCACCGTGGGCTACAACGCTGTGCAAAAATCCTCGCAAATGATCGGGGGAAGTCTTAGCAAACTAACCATTCACGTAATCTATTCTTTTTGAAGCCGTTTTCGCGAAGTAATAAACTTTAGTTCACTTATTTAGGCTCAAGTCCATGGCTTACACATTAACTTGTCAAACATATCAGTGGCTTTACAAAAAGTTGTGCTACAGGCTCAATTTTACTGGCCAAAAGCCAAGTGGATCCGATTCACGCGCATTTTTCGAGGGATCCACTCAAGGTATCCGCTCGTGCATTTGTATATTGGACTCCCATGTTGGCAGCATCCGCTGTGCAAAATTTGGGCTCAGAAGGTTGACTGGAACTCGCTCTACGAATTTCGTGACAGACAGACGTACACACAGACACACAGACAAACAGACGTAAACAACCCTTAGCCCGTTATTATTAAGTCATAGATACTTGAAAGAACCGTCTCATATTCAGGCCCATTTTTAGAAAACTGAATAGCAAAAAAATAGAAAGTTGTAGTATCAAAAGGGGCAGTCGAAGATTTGAAGAACGACAGCCAACTACAGCCTTCTTGAACTGATAGAGAGCTTGTGAACGGATTACTTTTTCTACAGTAACGCAAATGTTAAGGAAACTGATCTGCTGTTTTAGGAGTGACAGATATATGTACATGGCATACATAAGCTTTAGTCGCCGTTTTTAGGCACAGAAGCTGGTAATTCTATGCCTCAGCTCAACTTAGCTTTACGTATATTGTAAAAAATCTTTAAGTAAAATTGCTTTCGCTATTTGATCTTTTACTACCGGGTTAACGAGATGATTGAGATTCTACTTGACTCAGTGCTATAACCAACCTGGCTCTGCAGCTTTCGGCATTACCGACTGCTTCTCTTCAACTTTCGTAGGGACATTTTTTGAGGGTTGTTTCGCAGTAGCTTGCCGTGAGGGAACCTAAAACAGGTGTAAAAAACATTAGGTGTAAACACCGTTTATTCAAATTCACCCTAGGCTTCGACGTTTCAACAGGCAAGGGCTTCGCCTTTCCTTCTGTAGGTGTAGGTCTCTCAGACTTTGATGCTTCCGTGAGACTGCTGGTCATGCTCTTTTTAGAGTCCTGTTTCGTAATCTCCGGCTTCGTTGCTTCCGTGATACTGCTTGTCATGCTCTTCCTGGGTTCGTCCTTTGCTGACTTTTTGAGACTCTTTGCTTGGGTGCCAGGCTGCAATTCTTTTGCTTCCTCCTTTTTCGGTTCATCATTTTTCACAGTCTCTTTGGGTAATGCCTTCTTCAATGTTGCATCGTTGTTGGCCGAAATTGGCTTTACAGGTGCCTTGGCGGATTTCATCGGTGGTTTTGCTGCTGGAGCTGCTGTCTTGACATTTGATTTACTCGCAGCTGGGGGAGCCACTGGAACTACACTATGACACAACATCTAAACTGCAGTATTTCAATTAGAGGATTCAAAAATGTGAAAATTGAGTAAATTAAGGAACAAGAACCTTCCGCAATAACTTGAAAGAAAACTTTTTTCAAACATGTTTTGCCTCATTAGGTGTAGTACGTTTTGCGGTTACTCAAAGAGACTAAGGTACTTTGACTTGAACTCAATTCAGTTCTACATTGGTACATTCCGATTTTGCTGTCCAGCGGTTCGAATTCTCGGTAAAATACTAGAGTACTTTTGTACTAACAATAAGGTCTTTTGGCTGCTTTTGTTTGGAGTCATGAGTGAAGTTTGCAGAGGAAAAAACTGTTCGTGTAAGTCTCAGTGCCGGAAAAAGAAGCTACTGATAGAATTTCTATCAGCAGTACTCAAAAATCTCACAATCAGAAAGTGCGAGTGAGTTTGAGATCGGAGAGCTACATGCACTGTAGTAATAAGGTGCATAATATTATATTTTGAGCTCGGAAATTTCTATTAGTTTCCAAGAATCAGTTGCTCATTCAGAATGCTGGAAAATGAGAGATTATTGGTTTTTTGGGAGTTGTGAAGAAAGTATGTGATTTTAGGTCTTGTTGTAAGTTTACTGCACGTATAAAACGAGAGAAAAACGAAGTTCATTTGATCTTTATTGATTCAAACAACCAAGTTTTTTGCAATAACATCCGAGATGAGATTTACACAATTTTTATAATCGAATTCTCTGGATTGAGCAATACTTGTGCTATCAAAAGTCTCTACCTTGATATATTCGTCAAGAGAAAAACATGATGGTAGAAGTGGGTTGTTTGAAAATAATTTATCACGTAAATGTTCACTTGTTGACTCAGCACAAACAATTTACTTTGCTTGTCTAGGTGCGTAGATAATTCTTATACTACTAGTTGTTCTGGATCTGCAACATTTAAGATATTTTTGAGTTTGTAGAAATCAAGGAAGCTCGAGCGGCTTTGTTAAACTCTCGTCCCTGCTTATGTTATAACAGCCGCTAATTTATCTTAAACATGAAATTTTCATTCCAGTAAAGTCGAGACTACGTCAAGCTATCAATATAGAAAAAAGTTATGATTGTTGAAGGTTGCAACATTTACGCTGTGTGATATGTGGAATTGTTCTAAACACTCGCTCGATATAATGCGGTCATGAATAATGTGAAATGCCAGCAAAGAAAACTGGATATCCAGGCTTGGGGGGCTAAAGACGTGAAGTGGTAGGTTTCCTACATAATGTATTGATGGTAACGATCTTCAGGAGCGACACTTCTATGCATAACATTTGCGTTTTCTCAACTGCGGGTTAGGTGATGAGGTTCCATGAAAAATGTGTGTTTTTTGAATAGCTCAACTTCCGTATTGATATGCTTATAAGGATACTCACCACGTGAGCTTACCTGGCTTGGTTGCTCTAGCAGTTGAGGGCGGAGGGTTTGCTCTGGTGGCTTTGGCCCTGAAAAAACTCTCTTTGTTTACTGACTCGAACTACTTCTCTTTGATACATATTGAATGGGGATTTGAAAAACAACATAAAATATATGCTGATTCTGATATCAACGAACTTTATATCCACTATTGTCTGAAAATTTCTCAGCCTTCCACTTTACAGAAGCCAGTGGCGGTCCGAGAAGGTTTTGAGTGGGAACGATTTTTCTGTCAAATCCAGGGTGCGCTATAAAGTACTCCCGAATAGCTAGTTTAGTTTCAACGAACTTTTGAAAATTTTTGAAATCTGCACAGAAAAAAAGTTTTTAGCCTAGTTTTTGTACTTTATGTGAGTCATAAAGTTGTTATGAATTTAGATAAAAAACCACGACCGGAACAATTTTTTAGGCTTCAAACACATTTTTCTGATTAGCTGTTTTAGAGAGTTTTGAAATATGATAAAAAAATGAAATTCTGTTCAACTACCTAAAGTAGCAATTACGGAAACACGGTGACAACCTTTCTTTCCCGAAAATAGTCATAAAAATTATTTTGAGCAGACTAAACTTGATTTAATTCAGCTACATTTCTTACAAACCCTTTATCGGGTCTTCGAAATAATGGAAATTCTTGACAGAACGGGAAGTCGATAAAAACCTTGAAAGGCAATGTTGTATACAACTTACTTATCACCTTTACGTAATGCAACGGCATTGGTGGATGCAGCACGTGGTTTCTTCTTTATGACTTGATCTACCCGATCACTGAAAAATGATAGTATTCTGAACGGAATGATTGAAGGAAGGAAGAAGAAGTGAAACAAAGTTGATTTAACAAAGGAACTGTTACTATGAGATCATGCACAGAATGCCAGCTGTTATGAACTACTTAGACAACAAACAAATGTTGGCTCAAGGCTTACGGTTTCTGATATGCACCATCTGTTGGAAGTCGTGCACAGCTGTTAATGTGTTCACCCTTAAGAAAATATTATTAGTTCATAAAAAGGTTAACAACACAGATGTGTGTGGAAAAAAGTTGTTCTTTATTCGACGGCTTTGATCTAGCACTAAATAGCACGCTCTGAAAGTTCTGTCAAAAATTCTAAAATCAAACTTTGAAAACCAGCGACATTAGAAAGAAATGGCTTTATGAAACAATGACTTCCGTCTAAATCAGTGCAGTAGCGTCAAGTATAAGGTATCCTAAGGACCCTTATTGGTTTGTTCGATATGTCATGCACCAAAAATATGTACATATTTATTTTCAATAAATTTGTTTGCTTTGAGAGTATTGGAAGAAAAATACAGGGTGCGCCAAAATATTCAAAGTAATGCCGCAACGATGGCAATGAGAAATTTGGTCTGGATTCAATGTCACAGAATGCCGTAAGCATACTCTACAAAAAGCACTATCAAGATCCCAAATCGGTCTTTATTTAAAGAAGTATGAATCACTAAAGCAATGTTTGTGACAGAAAAACGCAAGCTGACGCAAGTTATTAAGTAGTCAAAATTTTTGTTTAGAATGCTCCTAAAGATTCCGAACCTCAGTGTTCTTGAAGTCAAAAAACTAGATCTATTCTATGGCGGAATCTTCACCTGAGAAAAGCGATCACCAAAAAGATACATACTGGGCAATTTTGTGGGCCTCTACCCGCGTGCAGCACGCGACAAAGTCAGAGAAATATTATGAATTTTTACCGAAAAGCAAAACAGGCAATTTTACCTTTTTCAACTAGGATACAATGTTGTAGAACCAAGAAGACAATATCAAGCTTGACCGCTGGCTGTGCCGATCTTGTGTTCGTAGGCGCTTATTGATACAGGCGCAAATAAACGTGGCGCACCCTGTAGACCTTCTAGTGTTGCTACATGTAAAAGCTATAATTGGCAATTCTCAGCGAAGCAAGCTGATACTGCTTTTGATATCTAGTTTCAAGACCTTTTCTACCAAAACTTTTTGCTGTTTGGCAGTTGAGCAGTTGACTTCAATTTTGCCAAAGGTTTAATTTCGAAAGTTATCATTCAACTTATTGTTAAGGTAAACCTCCTTCATGCCTACCAAAATACAAAGTCTAGTATACAGAATAAAAAGTATACAATCTATAACAAATCATTTCTTAAACATTTTCAAATATTTTCTTTCATAGTGGTGCAATACTCTTGCGACAACCTGCTAGTAGAGGTAAACGCTGAAGTCTAAACAATTCTCAAATTAGGTTGCAAGTTATAGATGTTTCCTAACCTAATACATAGAGGTTTGTGCTAAAGTATTTTTAGAGGTATATAGATATTTGAGCATATTGGCAAATACGTATATTTTTTGCACTTGTAAGATAATATCCGATGGGAATTATTTTTTTCAGTTTACATTTCTTAAAAATCACATTATGGGACAAAATTAGGTCTTCTAGCATTTTTTGAAACAGCTTAAAATCTATGAAATTAGTTCTTTAGTTGATTTTCGCGTGATATTGTCATAGCCTTCCTTTTGGCATTTCAAATGAAACACGATTTCATGAAACTCGGATAACCACGTTCAAAATAAGAATGGGATAAGTCAACATTTTAAACGTCATTCTGATTTGAATAAGACGCTCCGATGAAACGATTAGAATAGAAAACCTACCTTAACTGTCATTTGTTCCTTCCCGTTCTTGACAATTTTCAGTTTTGTTGGAGTGATGTTTTCCCCCTCAACTTTCATGATCACTGCAGAAATCAGCGACTCGACAATCTGTAATGTAACTACTTTCTTGCATAATGGCTAAAAATTAAAGGGGTCTTCAAATGCATAAATGTGTTCTAGTGCAAAATAGAGAGAGCTATTTGGAGAATAGTAAAATTTCAATTAGCACAAAAGCTTTTATCAGGCTGACATCTTCCAACATCATCGAACAAGGATATTGCGCTTACCTCTTGTATCCTCTCAGCACCATTATCGTTGTCGCGTTTCCGAGATTCCAAATTCCTGGGTTCCACCGAATTCTTCCCCTCATTGGACGTCCCGGTAAGAGTTGCGCTCCTCTTCTTGGAAACCGATCTTTTCTTATAAGCCGATTTAGCAGCCAGTGGTTTCATTGGAAAATGAAGTGAATTGTGGAAGTCTCGCCATGCTTCTCCATGCATAGCTACTTGTCATACATTTCCAATTAGCTGCCTCGTGTGAGAAACGTTTATAAACTATTCTCGAGCCACTTCTGTAAGAGAAGGGACTTATCAAACTTATTAGACACACTAGTCCTCCAATTCACTAACAAAATCATTCCTCTACTAAAAATACATACAATACAGTTGAAACATGTCCGCCGATAATTTTTATGTTGTTGACTTCCAGAAAAGAGGTAAGACCGACGCAACAAGGTACAAAAGGCAAGAGTAATAACATCTACTGTAACACTCAATTTATCTTCTTATATACAGGGTGGGGCAAAAGTCTGGGATCCGACTTTGCAGTGTTTTAAATCACGAAACTACCGATGATTTTGCTTCGAAATTTGCGCCACATAATGCTGCGATCATCCTCTACAAATCGCACTTTACCTAGCTGAAAATGCTTGCCATATGTCTTTGGAAAAACTGTATTTATCAAACAAGCACTTTTGCAGGCGAGAAAATCAGAAATTATAGTCCTAACATTTATTTCGTAACTAAAGCCACAGTGAATATTCTGAAACGCTTTAATGCATATGATGTAGAGAAGACTTTGCGCTATCAGATCGTAGTAGTTACGTCTGCCAGAAACTACTCTTTCCAAGACGCAAAATTAAAATTTGCGAATATCACCTGCGTGCCAGTGGCCATTCGTCTTCAAAATAAATTTGAAAGCTATAGAAGCATAGCAGGTACTGAATTTTAAGCTTTATACTCTCCACAAGTCTTCTATATAAGAATCTGTTTAAGTTCGATCGATGGAACGGTTTCAATACTCCTTAAATTATGATTTTTCGCTCTCGATCGCGTAATCGCATCCGAATTTTCAGTATGCGAGGACACTTGCCTTTATTCAAAACTCCAAAATCTTTTCCCTAAATACTGCAAAAAAAATCTGCTTGTGATATGTTATAGCCAAAAGCTTGTTCTATCATACTGCACACTTTCCTAATGAAAAAAGCAGTTATTATAAGGGCGTGGGACGAATTTTACCACGACTGCCTGCGTGCCACGAGAGGCGGACTTGCCAAGACTTTGAAGGGCTGCTTTGGAGCCAAACGAGGGAATCTTAAATTTTGAGAGCTGCGCTATACTTGTAAAGGTTCGAATTATAGGTGCACCAAACCTTGTTTCTAGGTACTTCTCTTCTGATTTTATGTGGAAAAGTACCTAGGCTCCCAGACTTTTGCCCCACCCTATATAAAGCTGGATCTCTGCTTGTCTGTCTGTATGTCTATATGTGTGTACGTATGTTCCGAATAGAAAATTCCATTTCGGACCGATCCGGACCAAACTTGGCGCACATACATTTCGGGGCCGGGCGGGTGTCGTAGGCTACTTTTCGTCATCGATCGATTTTTATCGATATTTTTGCAACGTTTGAGCTACGGGGCTGGGAGATGGCACAGGGTGGTAATCGAGCATGCTGATTACGAATACAATATTAGTTTTTGGAATTATCCATTACTTTTATCGATTTTATCGACTTTTTGCAAAGTTTGAGCTACGGGGCTGAGACTTGGCACAGGGAGGGGGGGTTAATGAGCGTGCTGATTACGAGTACAATATTAGTTTGGCGCTATTCGGCTATCCGGGCCCCAAAATTGTTTGTCGCAGAGCTTGCTCAGACTACGTGTATAAGGGTTATCTTACATGCTGATTACAGATATCACACTTTCTCCGCAGAACATGTCCCCGTGTGGTACGATAGGTGTACGGTAGGAAGTCAAAATCATGACGGCTGGAGTTTGGTCCAGAGAGCTTATTCGACTGATTACAAATTTCATACACTCTCTGCATATTGGGACCTTTTCATGGAGTTATGGTGGTTATACGGTATGGAATCGAAAACATAGATTTGCTTTTAACTTCGTCTAGGGTGATCATTTAGTGCGCTGAACATGAATTTCATGCTGATTTCGCAGGATAGCGCATTTTCTTGGGTTACGGTTGGTGTAGAGTAGATGGGTCGAAGATCCAGATTTGCTTAAAACCTCACCTGTAACGGTTCACTAGCATACTGCTTATGAATATGATGCTTGCTCGCTGTCATAACGCATTATTGTGAAGTCATGGTGAGTTGCAGGGCTTGAATGGACATTTTTTCGCTTTCGGGCCAATTTAGATCCCAGATATTCACGAAATGGGGAAACGGTTGTTTTGCGGTCTCCAACGCCATTCTGATAACCTGTCCTAACGCGTAAACGCGCACGCGACAAATCTCCCTCCCCCTCTTTTTGCTTATGCAAAAGCCGCCGAAGGGTGTATCGCGCGCGGCAGTGGTCCTATCAGGAAAGCATTACGGTCGTGGGAAACTTTTATATTAGGTTGTCCCGAAAGTTTTGTCCGTTTTTTCAAATCACTATTAAACCACGCACAATAAAGACCTAAATGAGTTTCAACATGCATTCGATGCATATATTCCTTCTCTTTCTTAAGGATACATTTTCGAACCAAAACCTTGTATGCTCTTCGTGATAATTGCCAAAATTCTCCACCCGTCAATTTTATCTCCTCTAAGTTAGGCTAATGTTCAAAAACTTTATTCTAAAGTTTCGGAACGAGTTGAGCGCGGATCATATAGAGCAATTCTTGGACTACAAGTTAGTATTTTTAGAATTTCCCGATCTGCTGTTTTTAGTTTGGAAATATTATTTCTTCAGAGGTCTCCATTTTTGGGAAAATCAAGAAACACGCAACTGCAGCAGATACACGAAAGCATTCGAAGTTTCTGCGAATTGAAACATGATTCTTATTAAACATTATTTATGCAACATAACCAAGTCTGATTTGCTTTGAAAAAGCAGCTTTTTGGAATTTTCGGTACTTTTAGGCGGTAAACGTATTCAAAAACCCGCGGTTTTTATTAAATAAGTAATTATAACGCACTTGTTAAACGCGGCCCACGTAATCTAAAATGGGTACAATGTAGCCAAAGGTCTGCTCTACGTAACAGTTACCAGCGCTCTTTAAAAACGTCAAAAGAAAGAATTTCAAAATTCAGGAAATATTTGGCGTTACTGCTGAGATGCTTAAAAAGCCATGGCGATAACATTGCAAAGACAGGGTAGATCACAAAGCAGAGATAGCTGTAAGATAGAGTATAAAAGTCTAAATCAACTGGTACCCAGGTCGTCCATGGATTGGTGTTGTGTGAAATTTAGTGAGCGATGAAAAAAACGGACAAAACTTTCGGGACAACCTAATACCACACGAATTGCCTATATCGTAAGAATTAAGCACGATATTCTGATATTCTTGAAACAGCACTTTAGGTAATTTTCTGCCAAGGTTTCAGGCAGGTTCATGATTTTTACTCGCTGGCACGCGAAATGACTACGCTAATCGTCATCAGCGGCTTTAATAATCCCCATGTACCAACTTTGAGCAAGATCCATCACAAAAACATTTTGGGGCCGGATAGCCGAATAGCGCCATCAGTTTTTAGAATTACCCTTACTTTTATCGATTTTATTGATTTTTGCAAAGCTTGAGCTACGGGGCTGGGGGTTGGTGAGGAAGGTAGGTGAGCATGCTCGTTGCTAACACAGCGGGAATAGGGAATTGTATGCAGAAGTGGGCACAGGGAAAGGTTGTACAGGGAAAGGAATGGAACTTTATCAGTGTTTTGACAGGGTCGGGCGGAGCCGAAAGCCAGCTAGTTCAAAATAAAAATCCAGCACAGAACAAATCAACCATACGAAGAGATATCAAAGAAATATGGGCATGATGTTCTTTCATGTTCTTGCCTAAAAAAGCAGTAACAACTTATAATCACATTTTGGTTCTGAAAAAATTGGCACAATCGCTACATCATTCTCATTAAAAGAGCAATTAGATTGGATGCGTGAAATAGTCAGCTCAGTAGAAATCGTGGACCAAGGAAAAGAGATAGATATGGTACACTCTAAAAAGAAACGGTAAGTGCCTCTCTGATTAGTTGAATTTGACACGTTAAGTTTACCCAACTCAAATAAGCGCCGGGGGCAGACGGCCATGCGATTTATGGGAGGGCGGGCACCGGAAAAATAGTCCGCTGATTTCTTGCGGTCCGCTGGCAGATATTTGGAAGAATTGCGCACTTTTAGACGAATACTTGGAGAACAATCGCGGTTTCCTTATAAATTAGCTGCGGTGCAGTGGCCGCATTCTCGCGGACTTTCCGCGAGAACGCATTCTCGCGGACTTTCCGCGAGAATATGCAAAATTTTCGAAGGCCGCGCGGTCCTTTGTGGAGAACCGCGCAGCCCTCAGGTACTTTCCGCTGAGAGAAAGTACTTCAAACTTGAGTAATTAAACCATCGATGATACCCCTACCATTTAGAGTCTCACCTCTGCTCGGCGTACGCCGGAAACTGCTTAAAAACCGTCCAAGCGCCAGCTGAAAATTTGACCAGCGCTCGCTGAAAGAATTATTTGACGAGCGCCTGCAGAAAATTCTGTGTTGCTGCCCGCTGGCAGAACATTAGACAGTAAAGGAAGTACCGCTCGCTGAAGGTTTGGCCACGCCCCAAAATTCTGCTGACCGCTTGCAGAAAAGCGCGAGTTTGCGGACCGCCTGCCCCCGGCGACTATCTGAGAAAGGGCATGGTGCGCAGAATTTTTTGCTTTGGCTACCGAAAAAATTGCGTTAGGTTATCTTAACAAAAGCGCCATAAAAACTTAAGTTGAACGGAAACCAGGCAAGCGGAAATATAGCATCTTTCTCGCTTGATATGATACTGCGAGCATCACTCGGGTGAGAAGAAAAGTAAAAGCAAGACCTAAGCTAAATCATGCGTGACGCTTGATTAATTGCAAATAACTGGCGCGCAAAAGTCTGAGTAGCAACAAAATGAGCGTCGGCTTTCGACAGATCTAACTAGGGGAGAACCCAAAGTCAACATTGCCTTTCGAAATGAAACATAGACAATTTGAAGAGCATCAAACGCTGATTTCAATGCTGTCTCCGTTTTTTTACCAGGCTCTTGACGCTT